GTCCGATAAGGAACGGAGGAACACTTGGCAAATCGTTCCAACTGGATAGATAAGGAGTGGGCAGACCGGTTCGATAAGGAACGGAGGAACACTTGGCAAATCGTTCCAACTGGATCGATAAGGAGTGAGCAGGCCGGTTCGATAAGAAACGGAGGAACACTTGGCAATTCGTTCCAACTGGATCGATACGGAGTGGGCAGGCCGGTTCGATAAGGAACAGAGGAACACTTGGCAAATCGTTCCAACTGGATCGATACGGAGTGGGCAGGCGGGTTCGATAAAGAACGGAGGAACACTTGGCAAATCGTTCCAACTGGATCGATACGGAGTGGGCAGGCCGGTTCGATAAGGAACGGAGGAACACTTGGCAAATCGTTCCAACTGGATCGATACGGAGTGGGCAGGCTGGTTCGATAAAGAACGGAGGAACACTTGGCAAATCGTTCCAACTGGATCGATAAGGAGTGGGCAGGCCGGTTCGATAAGAAACGGAGGAACACTTGGCAAATCGATCCAACTGGATCGATAAGGAGTGGGCAGGCCGGTTCGATAAGGAACGGAGGAACACTTGGCAAATCGTTCCAACTGGATCGATAAGGAGTGAGCAGGCCGGTTCGATAAGGAACGGAGGAACACTTGGCAAATCGTTCCAACTGGATCGATAAGGAGTGGGCAGACCGGTTCGATAAGGAACGGAGGAACACTTGGCAAATCGTTCCAACTGGATAGATAAGGAGTGGGCAGACCGGTTCGATAAGGAACGGAGGAACACTTGGCAAATCGTTCCAATTCTGTTCCAACTGGATCGATAAGGACTGGGGAGGCCGGTTCGATAAGGAACGGAGGAATACACGGTGGGCCAGACCCCCTTACCGTGCACCTCCCCCCCATATCCCTATAAATTGCATATCATTGTGTTCCTTGTGACAATTTATTAAAAAAAGCCAATGTTCTCACAAAAAAAAGTGAACGCACTGCCCCAAAATGGCGTCCAAACATGGCGGATTGACGACTTTGACTTAAGTTAGTTTCTTTGTTACTGAGAATCAGCATTTGGCTTAATTTCATCATAGTTGGTCTTTTATTAAAGCTGGATAATCAGAGAATAATAAAACATGAAAAAATATTAAAAACTAATTGGTTTAGGCATTAAAAAAAATCGGTAAAGTCAATTTTTTTTACATAAAAAATTTCAAGTTGAAAATCAAGCGTCGTTTGTAATTAAACGGTCAACAATAATGCAAAACGTGCTGAAATAAAATATCTGCAGAATACATTTCTCTTTCTAAAACACTGATTACTTTTTAAAATATTTGAAGTAGTTCCGTAGAAAATGTTCTTAAGCGGCAGAAAAGCGTTACTGGCGTAGGCGCCTTCAGGCCTCTACCACACCACTCATTACTCATAAATGGCTTAGTTATAGTGCTATAATAACGTTTTTGTTATATTATATTGATTATATTAACGAACAAATATTAATAAAATAATTTATTTGTAAAAAAAAAATTTGTTTTTAATTTATTATTTTTTATTTATTTTTTTTTAATTTAACTTCCTTTATTCTATACGGAGGTCGCTTAAGAAGGCCTCTATTATAAAAATTATATAATTATTATAATATTAATTATTATAATATTGTATTATATATTATAATACAACTTAATTCTAAAATAGTTTGTAGAATATCTTGAATTTTTTATTTAATATTTGCAATTTAACATTTTGTTTTATATATTTCCTGATTCTTAGAGGTAATTGAAATTGTATATACTTCTCCGGAAATGAGTCATAATAATATCTGTTTTATAAACTAAAATAATATATACCTAATCTGAACTACTTTTAATGAAAAGGTGATGGATTGTTTAGTAAAATTCATATATCGCTATTAAAAAAAATAATTTTTATTTCCTTCATTTTTTTCGGAAGTTGGACCATATCACAAAAAATACGAAATTTTAAGATTAAATGCATTTTTCTCTCTGCACAAAAGAAATATGGAAAGGGCGAAGCTATAAGTTCTTCTAGGTAACTGGAACTGATTGTTAGTATTTGGTCTCAAAATGAGGGAAAAGTCGAAATTGAACCCAAACATTGGAAAAATACATTAAGTGAACGACAAAAGAAGTGCCAAAATTTCGGAAAAGAAAACAAGGATCAGTATCCGTTATATGGCTGAACGAATATATAGTAGACAGATGGACAGAATATTTCAAGATGCTGCTAAAAGAGGGTCAAAATGCTTGATGAGTTTGAATGATATTAAGCAGGTTTATTATAGTGAAGACCATTTCATCAGCAAGAAAGATTTGTTCTAAGCAATTGGCAAGTCATCTGGTCTGGACGAAGTAACCCGAAATGCTGTGCGTACAAAGGCTACAAATGTATTAGAAAATTATATGAAAGGACTGTAGTTTTGTCCCTTTACAGGAAATGAGATACTAGGAAATGTTATTCGAGATTCCTTACTGTTTATAGTACCAAAGAAAGTCTACTCAAGAATCGTACAAGCCGAATAAGAAATATCGTCGATTGTCTGAGCGATATGGATTGAGAAACTCAAGTTGCACATTGGAACATAAGTTGCAAATTGGGACTGTCTTCACTTTAAGGTAGGTTATAGAGAGGTCCACAGAGAAAGAAAAATGGTTCTCTATCTGCTTAGTGCCTCACACTTTGGATTGATCTAATATCTACTAGTCTTTCACAAAAGCTCGTTTTCCTTTCAGATTCCTTCAAAAATCTTTTGCAAATGCACTAAACAGAAGGAGAGCTATTTTCCTATATAGATAGACCTCTCTATGGCCTGCTTCAAAGTGAAGAAGTGACTCATTTCCGGGGAAGTATATACAATTTAAATTACCTCTAAAAATCAGTAAATATATAAAACAAAATGTTAAATTGCAAATATTAAATAAAAAATTCAAGATATTCTGCAAAGTATTTTTGAATTAAGTTTTATTATTATAATTATATAATTTTTATAATAGAGCCATTCTTAAGCGACCTCCGTATAGAATAAAGGAAGTTAAATTTAAAAAAAATAAATAATAATAAATAAAAAAATAATAATAAATTTAAAAAATAAAAATAAAAATAAAAATAAAAAAATTTTGTTTAATATTAAATTATTGTATTAATATTCGTTTCTTTAATACAATCAATATAATATAACAAAACGTTATTATAGCACTATAACTAAGCCATTTATGAGTACTGAGTGGTGTGGTAGAGGCCTGAAGGCGTCTATGCCAGTAGCGCTTTTCTACCGCTTAAGTGCATTTTCTACGGAACTGCTTCAAATATTTTAAAAAGTAATCAGAGTTTTAGAAAAAGAAATTTATTCTCCAGATGTTTAATTTCAGCACATTTTGCATTATTGTTGACCGTTTAATTACAAACGACGTTTGATTTTCAACTTGAAATTTTTTTAATAAAAAAAATTGATTTTACCGATTTTTTTTAATGCCTAAACCAGTTAGTTTTTAACATTTTTTCATGTTTTATTATTCTCTGACTATCCAGCTTTAATAAAAGACCAACTATGATGAAATTAAGCCAAATGCTGATTCTCAGTAACAAAGAAACTAACTTAAGTCAAAGTCGTCAATCCGCCATGTTTGGACGCCATTTTGGGACAGTTCGTTCACTTTTTTTTGTGGGAACATTGGCTTTTTTTTAATAAATTGTCACAAGGAACACAACGATATGCAATTTATAGGGATGTGGGGGGGAGGGGGGAGAGGTGCACGGTAAGGGGTCTGGCCCACGGACTATAACACTTTTTACATTTTTATTTTAACATACAATAGTACATTACCATAAGTAGCATCTAAGTTTCTACTAATTTTGTTTTGTACATATTTTTTCAAAAGCATTTGTAATAATATAATTATTTTTAAAAATGAAAAAAATATTGTAATTTTAAAAATAATTTCCCTGTAATTATTAATTGACTTATATTGATTTTTTCTTAATTATTTTGTTTCGAAAGACATAAATATGTTGCAACGAAGAAGCCAAAATATATAGAAACAAATTCTTTAAAATATTGTTTATATTATTAAAAATATATTAGTACCTGTTACTATTATTTCTACAATTTCATGAAAAAAAAAAATCGTGTTTTCAAAACCAACATTTATCCGTGTAATTAGTTTTATTTACTACAGTTACTTTTAGGTTTCTTTTCTTTTTAAATAATTTTCATTGTTTTCTTTACATTATTTGGAATATGACTGTAACCATATAATTGGATTTTCAATCTTCAATTCAATCTTCAAATTATAAATTTTCAAAAATCGAAATATAAAATTTATAATTTTAAATATTTCATTTCACATTAATGTTACATTTCACATAACCATTAATTTTAAATGTTATATTTTCTATTAATTAAATCGAAGCTTATGCAGCATTTTAAAGTAAATTAACAAAGAATAGAGCGAAAATAAATCTCATTTTAATCTGTGGAGGGAATCGCTGAACTATCGATATTACAGCTATTATTTCATCGATAGTGGAAATCTATAGACTATCTCCCACGCCTAGGTTATAAATTCTGGAGTAACGGCATTGGAACAGTATCGATAATTTGGAACAGTTCCGTTTGGGGAATGGAACGGATTGAACAGGTACACTAAAAATCTGAAAACAACCCATCCCTACTTATCACCTTTACAGCTAAACCCTCGTGAAATTCTATATCCAACCGTACCCCATTCATGGTATTTGTACATGATAGGAGCTTATATTTGGTACAAAACCGATTTTGAACCTTACTGTAATAATATAGGATAGGGGATACACTACAATACCTATTGCACATCTGAAAAATTTTATGAAATGTTTGATTTGGTTTTAAATCATTTTATAAAAAATAAAATAAACCTTTAGTAATTAAAATTCATGCAAATATCAATCAATTACTTACAAATAAAGTGATATTAGTAATAAAATAAAGTAAGTAGGAACTAGAAATACGAGATTGATGATATTGATTAAAGTAGTATAAGGTTTAATAAATGGTAAATACTTTACCAGTAATTAAAATATATAATTTTATTTTACAGTTAAAATTTACAGCAATACCACTAAAACAATAAACTTTAACGTAACAATAATAATAGTTAATAACAATAAATTTGTTTTATTTAAGAAGAAACAATGAATATTGATGGCATATGTATGTATATATGTGGTAAAACTGTCACACACCGCAAATGAAGAAAAGTACTGAAATGACTAGAAATAAATTACTACACATTGGAATGATTGGTTCCTATGATTACAAATTATACAAAGTCACAGAGCTCACCTGATATTGAAAGGTGAAATACAGAATATTTTACTTCACTGGATTATATATACTGCACTGAATTAAATTCTTAGCTTTTTAGTAACATGCAGCCAACCCTTATAACATAGATAAATAAGCTAAATATAAGATCAATTATTCTCAATTCCTTTACAATGGCTAAGTTATATTCCATCTACTAACTTATAAATATATTTATATTGTGCATTTATATCCAATAACCAAGCAAATGTTTTTATTTGTATACAAAGAATAATCTCTAATTAAAAGCCAACAAAATATAACTTAGCAAAATATTTATTATTTTTCTTGAAATATATTTTAAAAGTAGATACCATAAATTTGATAATATGAAGAGTAAACAAATAAAATAAACATTAAACAAGGAGACAGGTTTCAAAACTGGCTCAATTTAAAGAAGTGACAATAGGATTGCAGCACCTGTTTTATTTATAATTTGAATTTGAACCAATTTACATAGTGGATTTTGAGGCAAATCAGATCAATATTATTTGTTATATGATTCAGTATATCATCTTGATAAAAGAGTGGACCAAGCAGGTTTATAAATTAATTTTTTAAAAGTAAAAATGTTTTCATTTTCATGAATTCTGTACTATTTCCAAAATCATGTGATTGAGATTACTTCTTTGCTCATTATTTTAATTTATTACTTATCACACTACCAGGATAAATTTATTTTTTAACTTGCGTAATTATTATGATTATCACTTGTATTAAATTTGCTATATACTTAAATTAATCTATATTTTCTTGAAAACAAAAATATTTTCTTGAGATTTATTAATAATTTAGGTATCTACAGCTGTGAGCAATCGTCATACATAACACCAGTTAAACGAAAAATAAAATAGTTAAATGAACAATGGTTGGAATTGTTTGGTTTCAAAATGAATTGTCATAGGACAAAAAATAAAATAAAATCCAGTAAGATAAACTGCTATATAAGATAACTTAACGAAATTTGCTTTAGCAATAAAAACTTAATAGTTTATTTTCATCACCTTTACCAATAAGAATTTTTTTTTTTCTTTTAATATTGAATCAAAATTAAATTAAAATGGCATTGTATTTTATATACTCCTTCCCACATAATCATCTCCCCTTTTTATAACAAACAAAATGCGCAAGTTTAAAAGTACTTGACACATATCACATGAAAAAAAAATTAACACATGCCATTTCATTTAATTATCTGCAGCACATAATTAATTGCAAAATAAAACATTTATTGGTTATTACTGATTCTTTTTATTCGCTTCATGATATGCAGGTGGTGGTTCCTGAAACAAAACAGATCAGTAGGTAAATGTATTATGCTGTTTCAAAAACATGAAATAAAATAAAATTGAGCATTATTTTCTATTTATTTAAATGAAATGAAGTCGGATTCAAGAAAACTACAAATTATTATTAAAACACTAACAGGTACAGGAATCTAGGTTTTCCTTGTGAATAGCCCCAAATACCAATGTTCAGCTGATACAGAATTAAACATAAAAATACTTACTTACTTCCTTGGCCCTACAAGAGCTGTAGGGCCAAGGGGCTCTACAGCTCTTGTATTGCCTTGGCCTCCAAAACAACGCCTCTCCAATCCTCTCCCAGCTTCTCTATTGTCCAATTCCCATCTTCCCCAAATTGTCCTCCACATCATCAATCCATCTAAGTCTGGGCCTTCCTCTCCTTCCTTTGCCTCCTGGTTTACACATAATAGTCTTTTTGGGTATTGATTTTCATCCATCCTTTCTACGTGCCTCAGCCATCTTATACGGCTTGATTTAACGTAAGTGACTATGATTGATTCTTTATACAGTTCTTGGAGTTCTCTGTTATTTCTTATTTTCCATTGGCCATTTCTACGTATCCGCCTAAAGATTTGCTGAAGGACCTTCCTTTCACAGATCCGGAGGATCTTCTCGTATTCCTATGTCAAAACCCATGTTTCACCTGTACAAGTGACAATTGGTCTCAAGATAAACTTATAAACCAGAAACTTTGCTCTCCGTTAAAGATTTCGAAACCGCATTGCAAAAAGACATCTGTTGCCTACTGGGATTCTTGCTTTAATTTCTACAGTGATGTCATTTTTGCAGGTCACTAAGTCTCCAAGATATTTGAAACTGCCAGCTTTCTTAAAAGTGTGGTGGAGCAGTTGATGCTATCCTGTCCCTCACTTTTTGAGGATATCATTTTTCCTTATTTATATTAAGACCCAATTTTTTCCCAGCATCTTCAAACTCCTGTAAAGCCCCTGATAGTGTGGCTTTAGATCTTGACAATATTGCCACATCATCAGCATACGCTGAGTGTTGGATAACTCTGTTATAGATTGTTCCTCCTGGATTTGTCTTTATTGCTCTAGCTGCTTGCTCCAATGCAATATTAAATAATACAGGAGAGAGGATCTCCTTGGCATAAACCTTCCACTACCTTAAATTCTTCTGACAGAGTGTTCTGTATCTTCACCCTGCATCTGGTTTTTTCATGGGTGATCGCACTCAATCCTATGAGCTTTTCTGGAACTCCAAGTGCTTTTATTACTTTAAGCTATCGTATGATTAGAGAAAATCAATGAAGAGATGATGAGATCTATATTATATTCATAAATTAGATATTATAAACATAAAAATAAGGACAGTTAAAAATCAAAATTAACCATAGTTGATAAGTTCTACAAGTTTCTGATATTGTCAATAAATAGAAAAATTAGCTCCACCCAGCAGTGAAGCAGAAGATATTCAGGTTCCATGTAGAATGCTAATTCTAATTATGTATGTGTCTGAACAGGAATTCAAGAGCAAAGAAGAGAAAAAGTTGAGTACCTAAGATATATTAAAAATCTGCATTCAATTCTGCCAGAAACAAATTCTGATACGAAGCTATGCTTAAATTGTTGACTTTTACAACCAACAACAAGAAAAAAAACATTTGCCAAGTGAGGCCAGAATAGCTTCCTCACCATTTTCACATGCAAGGACAATAACTTTTCGTTTGTGAATAAAGTCTTCGAGAGAAACCGTATTCGAAAAATAATCCCACAACATTGGCAGATTTGATATCCCGTTTTGATCATCAGTGAAAATTAAAATATGAAAGAGATCCACATTGCTCCAAAAACCTGGTTGAAATCCAACAGAAACAAACAAGAAAGAGGATACACAATATAATTTAAATTAAACTTTTGAATGAAGTCTAAAATTGTATAAAACTTATCTCATAAAAATATACTACAAATTTAACCTTTTCCATGTGCTCAATGCCTTCTACATTTCATAGCCATTATATTATCATCTAATACATTAATTTTAATTGTTAAATAGATTTTAATGAAATTGGTCCTATACAATTCGTTAGCTATTTTTCAAATTGCTTCCAACTCAGGTTCAAATCAAAGGAGCAGTTTTCAAACTATGGGCGAATCAAAACAATACATGAGGAAATCCAAAAGCAGCAGTATTTTTAAAAAGTTTTGAATAGAATTTGATGAAATTGATTCCTACTTTGTCAATCCCTAACTTTCTCCAAATTTGAGGAATACCGAACATGTTGTTTTTGAGATATAGGCATATCTAGGACAATAGATTTGTATGATGTGACTATGATTGTGAAAATACATTTGCGCATGCGCAAGCGGAACTACTGTATGGAATTTGATGAAATTGATATAGGACCAGACCATCTAGGCACCTACATTTCCTAAAAAGTACTGAACCCTCGTCAAGTACTAAAGTGGTGGTACAGGTTTTTCACTTTTATTTATTTTGACATTCCAGCCTTCATTCACGCTATAAACAATGAGTAAACTCAACAAATAATTAGAAGAAGAAATAAAATTAAGTATAGAGATAAAGGAACCTACATAAAACTAACCGCACAGGTCTATAAAAAATACATAAAACAAAATGAGCTAATTAAAATCATACAAATATAATATGAATAATTGGACAATTAAGCTAACAGCCATTATATAACATATAACTTCAATTTTTTTTCTTGTACATTTTCGGGAATGATTCAAAAAAGAAAACCAGTACAAAAAATAAACTTACATAATAAGCGGGCGGGGGAACGTAAGCATTGTGTGGATTAGTGGGATCAAAGTAAGCACTCTGAGCTGCCTCTGTAGCTTTTGCATCACCTTAACAGAAATATAAATTAAATTGTGTAATATAATTCTGATTGATATTTAATTTAATTAGTCGATACAAAGTATCTGGACAAAATATTGTTTCATCATTGTTCTGTGTTCTCTTTTTTTAACTGAAAAGAGATCTATTAGCCCAATAAATATAGGCAAAAAAACTGAGCCAATATCAAGAAAATTCATAATTGGTTGTAAATTAGTTCCTCATTGAATGCAGAACAAACCACAAAAATTCCTCTCATTTTCCATGTCTGCTTCTTCCAAATTGGAGGGTCAGAGATGGCCACCTATAACTGTTATTTTATGTTTTTTTCTCATACCTCCATCAAAAACCTTTATTCTTGAATTCTGCAAGTACTATAATTGGCAAGGATGCTCGCTCATTTTGGTATTCATCGAAGTTCACTTGATGAAAAAATTATAACAAGTTGAAAATTGATCTTTTTGGCATCAAAAAAGTGAAATTTTCATGATTCTAATTCTGTCAACCCTCATAACTTTGTAACTATGGAGAGATAGAAAACAATGTTTCTTATGTTTTTTGTAGTCCTTAGCAGGAGGAATTTTCGAGAATTTTTTTTTTTTTTATATTTGATGAAAAATGTTGGAAATAAGATATTTTTTAATAAAAAATTCGTAAAGTCAAAGCTGAATTCTATCGCAGACTATTCGGACTAAATAGATAGTTATGAACTAGGAACTACCGATCATTTCATATAACTGAAGGACTTACAGTTAGTAACTATTTTAAATTGTAGATAAACCTCAACTGAACACTCAACTTTGGTCAGATATGATGTAAAGAATATCTCTAAAAGAGAATTCACCTCGACTGAAGAATGTAGTCGGTTACGTTTTGAAAGTTAACTGCGTCAACGATATCAAATAAATCCAGTTGAATGATACTAGAATATGGAAAAAACCAAACAGTCTCTCTTTTTTTTACCAGTTTTATGTTTTTTAGGGTATTGAATCTGAGTTTTAAATTCTAAAACGCAATATTTCATTGTTTTCTGAGATATATGCAAAAAAAAACATATAATCTGCTATAGATTTTTTAAATAGTTTTTTAATGTAGGACCAATAGGAGAGGAGTTAGGGCAAGTTGACTTTTTTCATAAAAAATAGCTGTTTTTTTCTCCTAACCTCATAAATCTATACATCTCTCGAAGAAATTCAGTATAATCATTTTGAAAGAACATTAAATTTCCTATATACCTAATGTAGATACGTTAACATGTAAGAAGGTAAGCGGCTGTTATAGCATACGGAATTGAAAGCGTATTTCAGTCATAGTACCTGCCATACCCAAATTAAGCTCAAAATTCGTTCCAAATACAGAGTGTTCTAATGGCTTTTCAGTTTTTCGTATACTAAAACTCCACAAAAGCTTGAATCGAATTGAAAGAGCATCAAATTTCCTATAGAGCTTGAGTGTAATTTTTAATAAACGAAAAGGTGAAAAGCCAGTAGAGGACATTTAAATTCTTAATTGTTTGATTATTATGAATGTTGATGTCTCTCATGCCAACAGAATATACAAAAGCTATATTAATCTTTTATACATTCTAGTTCTATTATAAATATAGTTAAATTAGTCAAATATAAAAGATAAAAAGAGCTTATCTTTTTAAAAAGATTTGAGTGCGGCAGATCCTATGACTGAAATATGCCTTCAATTCCGTATGCTATAACAGCCGCTTACATGTTAACGTATCTACATTAGGTATATAGGAAACTTAATGCTCTTTCAAAATTATTATAACAACTTTCTTCGAGAGATGCATAGATTATGAGTTTTGGGAGAAAAAAAAAAAAACATCAACAAAAACAGCTATTTCTTGTGAAATAAATAAACAGTCAACTTACCCTAACTCCTCACCTGTTGGTCCTACATCAAAGAGCTATTAAAAAAATCTATAGATTTTATGTTCATTGACTTTGTATAAAGTAATAATTTTGATAAAATGCATAGTTTTGGAATCATGGCCAAAAAACTAGAAAAAAAAAAAGTGCAAACATTTTTAAATAAAAAATAACATATCTCCACAATTTTTCAGCAAATTTAAAAAAAATAATTTTTCGAACATTTCTCTTGCTAAGGACTACAAAAAACATAGGAAACATTGTTTTCTATCTGTCCATAGTTACAAAGTTATGAGGGGTGACAGATTAAAATCAAGAAAATTTAGCTTTTTTTATGCCAAAATCAATTTACTTACAGCTCATTTATAATTTTTTTATCAGGTGAACTTCGATGGAATCCAAAATGAGCATCCTTACTTACTTGCAGAATTCAAAAATAATGGTTTTTGATGGAGATATGAGAAGAAACATAACATAAGACAGAAAGTTCTAGGTGGCTATCTTAGAAACTCTATTTTAGATAGAAGCAGATATGGAAAATAGACTTTTCATGGTTTGTTCTGTCTGCATTCGATAAGGAACTAACCCCACATTTACAGCCAATTACGAATTTCTTTGATATCAAATCCTAATTTTACTGGGTTATATGGATAAAGAGTCATATTAAGGCCAAATAAATGAATAAAATTAAAAGATCATCACATTATACACTGACAGGCAAAAAATTCCACCCACTTGATTTTTTCATTTTTCATCTAAAATTATTTCTGCTTTGGATTGGTCTATCGTTTTTAATGAATAAATAGGTAATCTTTCTATTTGTTTCCAATTAGGAATGTTAATAAAGAGGACAATAACCCTTAATCCTTAATTCAATGAAATGATTCTAGATTCCAATGTTTCTTTCTATGGAATCAAAATATTTATTGAGTATCATTAGTTCAGCGCCGTTTCTTGCAGCACATTTCTTAGTCTCCGGCTTTTAATTTTTTCAATATTAAGTTTAAAAATGCCTCTTAGTGCTGAGGATGTTGCGCGTGGTGTGGCACTTATTGATGATGGACGTTCCATTAGATATGCAGCTAATGCCATCGGAGTTCCATATGAAACTTTACGAGATGCCGTCAGGCATTTTCGGGAAACTGGTTCTTACAATAGAAGGCCCGGTTCTGGGACGACCTAGGGTAACAGAACCAAGGGATGATCGGTTTTTGACTTTGAGAATTTTACGAAACTGGCACCTTACCGTTGTTCAAGAAATTCGTTAGCTCGAAGAAGTTCGAGGTGTGCAAATTTCTGAACGTACCGCTTGGAGAAGAAGAAACAAAAGATATGTAGCCTGTAATTTTTCCCAGAGCCAAACTTTCCAACATGGTTCCTTAATGGTGTGGGCTGGAATTTCAATGGAGCCCACAGAATTGGTTCTTGTTCGTAGAGGGTCTTTGACGGCCATTCGCCATGTAGATGAGATTTTGGAACCTCATGTGTTGCCTATCCTCAACGAAATCGGTGATCGTTCTATTCGAAATGCACGATAATGCACGCCCACATAGTGCAGATGTTCCTTCAACAGAACAATATTGAGATTTTAGCCTGGCCAGCACGTTCTCCAGATTTGAACCCCATTGAGCATTTATGGGATAACCTAGGAAGACGGATTAGAGCGTGTGCAACACTTCCTGATACATTGCAGGACCTTGAAAGGGCTCTTCGGGAGGAATGGGCTATCCTCCAGCAAAGGGACATTTCCCGACTGGTGGAAAGTATGCTGAGGCGTCTTCAAGAAGTAGTGAAGGCAAGAGGAGGAAACACGCGCTACTAAACGATGATGTAATTAATTGCTTTTAGAATAATAATGGTTCGTTTTACAATTTTTTTTTCTCTAATCTTTCTAATCCAATCACATTTTGATTATTAAAGGTAAAAAAGATTATAAAATTCCATAAATACTAAGTATTATCTACAAATACCATGTATTATATACAAATACAACTTTACAGAAATATTTTTTGATGAAAACATGGAAAAATCAAATGGGTGGAATTTTTCGCCTGTCAGTGTAGTTAAAAGATAATTTTCAGAACAATTGGTTTTTCTACAAACTATGAACACGATTCATCAGGTAAATATGTCGAGAAACAAACCTCTGGAGTTCGGTTGAGTAAATCCAGCAGCCTGTTGCATAGGAGGAGGATTAACATATCCATTGCTAGAGTTGATTCCAGGGTAAGGTGGAGGCATGTCTGTCATGTAGACAGAATTAGCTAAGAAGGAAAATAACATTTAGAACTGTAAAATATCATCTTCTAAGTTCAATAACAGGGTGTCCAGAGATGTGATAAACAAATTCAAGCATAATTCCAGGTTTGCAACTAACTGAATGATAGCAATGATAAAAATTGGATTCAGAAAATATTGTGCCTTCTGATCAAATATATAATATGGACTTCATAAACTACAGAATAAATTAAAAAATAATAAGTTGTAATCCTGTTTGATAATGAAAAATTGTTTTTATACCAAAGGACCCCACTCAGGGGAATGGGGTAGCTCAGTGATAGGGTACTGAGCTTCCAATACTAAAGGTCCCAGGTTCAAATCCCAGCACATGTCAGAGAAATTATTTATTCTATTTCATTGGCCGTGGGGCGACGCTGGGTAGGTAGACCCTCTTCAGAAACACCCAGCCTCTATAAAATGGGTACCCTTAATTAAAATAATTGATTAAGGAAAAAAACCTGGCGGTTGAGAAATGAATTATTGGACTAAAAACAGAAAATTCCAAACGACTAGCTTTTTTAAGAATTATTTCTTATTTGTTCTCAATTTGTAAAATCCAAGCCGAATTCTCTATCTTCAAGAAATTTAAGGCTGCTGGACACCCTGATTAAGATACTAATTATTGCAAAAACTATTTAAAATTAAATTCAACATACCAGGTGGTTGCATAGAAAAAACATTGACCGGAGGTACCCAGCCATAATAGCCTGTAGGATCAGGAGCATATGCAGGCGGAGGAGCTTGGTACCACTGTCCAGGAGGAGTGTATGGTGGAGGCGCATCGCTATTAGCATTTCTTGAAGCTTAAAATAAATTAAATAAGATAGTAGTTACTAGTAAAAGAAAGATATTAAATATATAGCAATAAATTGTTTAAAAACATCTTTGAATAAACTTGTTTGAAATGGTATAATTAATCACTAAACAAATAGGTAATATTAAAATACTGAATAAATATAAACTTTTTGGAACTGGCCAAAAACAACTGTAAATTATAAGAATTACATATATATGCCTCCTTCCATCAGAATAGAGCAACAGTTGTACAGTAATACCTAAATTACTTGAACTCAGTACAGAAAAATTTGCCACGAATCGACACTGAACAATAATAAACAGTTTTCAACTAATTAATTAATAATAAGCATTGTACATGCTTCGGAGTTCAAATATGATTAGATTTGCACCTAGAACACTGATGAATATGATGTCTGAACCTCAAGTGATATCATGCCACAATAGCCGATCAACAGTTGCTTTTTCTAATGTAGAGAAGCTGGATGTTTGTATCAAAGAGGTTTCTTCCTTATCAATTTTCTTCAAGAGAAAAGTTGAATATTTTTATTAATTTATCTACAATTACCCATTTCTTAAAGTTTTGAAGAATTTAATTTTGGATTTTTTAAATATATAAAAAAAAAAAACTGTTGATCCCAAAATCTGGGTGCCTATTACTGGTGCAATATAAGCTTCCAGAATTTTGATGAATATTTAACTAATTGACTGTATTGAAATACAAAATCGACAGAACTCTGAATTTTCTGACTGTTAGATACACTTGCAAAGATCAATCATCAGAAATAAAGATAGAGTTCATATTAATCATGAAAAATTATCTTAAAGTGTCTACTACTGGTGCATTTACCGTATGGCTAACTGAGGGGCTAGCCTGACAGAAAACATATATTTTGAATAACTTATGAATCATAAGTTCCAGATAAATCACACATAATGAAGATTATGACTAGAAAAAGACACCACTTTTTCTAGATTCACGAGTTAATTATACTAAATAGATGGTACACATAATGAAAATAGCAAAACCAGTAAGAGAGTAGAAAAATTATAAATAGCATTAGCAATGAGGATATTTTGGTGGAATATAAAAAAAAATTAACATATCTACGAACTCAGTAAATAATGATACATCCATACATATTATGTAACCATGTCAGCATTAGTGACTCATTTCACACTTATAACAGGAAAGTTTGCCAAGTGAATAAAAGATAATAAATCCATAAAACTACTTAATTAGTAATTTGACATTACAAAAAATTGGACTTACCCATGCTTGCTGCTTTCAGCATAGCTTGAGCAAAATCAATAGCTCCACCTTTCTTGAAAACTAATTTAAACTTAGCTTCTCCAACCCAATTACCATTAGGTTGAGCTCTGACTTTTCCTTTAATGTAATTTGCACCAAAAACTGGTTGTTCCAATTCAACCTACAATGAAAGGTGTATTAATCAAATCATATATTATCATGTTACATTCTGTGGAAATTATAGTACATGATAATACTGAACTCACATCACTCAATGTTATGAATGGAAAACTGAAAGAAATCATGGGATCAGCCTGTTCTGCATTGTTAAAAATCATGCGATGGGTAGTAAGATAAAGTCTTCCAGTTTTGTTACCTTTGAAAACAGCACTATCTTGTCCAGAAAACTCCATAGACACATCTTCAGAAAACAGTAGAATACTATAAAAAATAATATCGATATGAGAAAACTAATGACAGAAGTTTGTTTATCTGTTAAATCTACTATCACAGGACATGAAACAATAAAATGTCATAACAATCAAAGCACAGGCATAAAACTGACCATTCTCCTGCATGTATTAATACACCCCCGTTGATATGTGCCGTATTAAGTGACATTCTTATGGCCACAATACGATATCAGTAAAAATTTGAATATCAAAATCTCCAGTATTGCACAACACTACACCTTATCAGCTGAGCTTGAATCATCTGAGGCCTTGATAAATGACATCCGCTGTCAGTAGTACTAATCCGTTTTTTTTAAACAAAAGAAAAAGTATGTGAATCTTATCATAATAAAAAAATTCAAAATGTATAATTTATTATTATTATTCATAGAAAATCAATCTTGTAAATTATATTTTACATTACCAACTTCCCATGAACCTACTTCATTCATGGTGAATTCGAATATAATTTATATTTCAAACCTTATAATTGTTTTTTGTTACAAATATTATCATATTATATTTAAATAGTCCCAAAATCCACTTTATAATAAAATAATATGTTACAGAGAATATTTACATCAAATCAAACAAATTTTACCGGGAAGTCACCCCTTCAAACGGGGCTCCCAGCGCAGAAATCGATGACAGAATGAAAGACATGCGTATTTCGTTTTGAAGAGGACTTACTGTGTTTTATAAATATTATGTTACGAAAAATTAATTTAAAATTAGTTTTGTTATTTTAATGATTTTGATTTAAATATAATATGTTGAATAAAAAGTATAGACATAAACCTAATTCTGAAACGGAAACATTTTTTTTGTACATCAATAAGATATAAAGCAGTTACCCTTATACAAATTTTCTAGCTTCAAATATGGATGAAAATTTAAGCAGAGGATATATTCAATTGGGAAAAGCCAGGGGTACAAACGATTTCCGTTTTACTAATGGGTTTAGTCATCTTTCCCCTCCGGTTGACAAATATGATAAAATATATTATTCCCTTGTCCTTGCTGGTGTGGGATTTTTGTTACCATACAACAGGTAAATAGACCTGCTTACCCTCAATGTCAACTATTTCCTTGAAATTTATTATTATTTTTTTTTTCCAGTTTTATAATTGCTGTAGATTACTTTCAGGAGGAATATCCTGATTCCTCTATTGTATTTGATATGTCATTAGTTTACATTATAATGGCATTTTTTGCGGTCTTGGCAAACAATCTCCTGGTTGAAGCATTATCTTTAAATACAAGAATAACTTTTGGTAATGAAACACTCAAGACTATGAAAACTAATATGTGAATTTATTACATTTATAATTTATTATTTTTAATTTTTAGGGTATATTTTGTCATTTATTACCCTTTGTTTTGTTGCTATTTGTGAGGTGTGGTGGGGCATATTTTCCACTAATACATCATATACTGTCAATTTAGTAGCGGTTGCAGTTGTTGCATTAGGCTGTACAGGTTTGTTTCTGCTTTGAATTAATTCAACATTCATCTACAATTATTAAAAATATTTAACAAATTTATGTGCACATTTATCTTTTACAGTTCAACAATCTAGCTTTTATGGTTATACCAGTATGCTTCCAAGTCGATATACTCAAGCTGTAATGGCTGGAGAAAGTTAGTTTTTATTTTATGAATTATTCGCAGAACATTTTAAATCAATCTTTGAATAAATATTTTACGCTTGACATTCATTATTATAGGTGGTGCTGGACTCTTAGTATCTTTGAATCGAATTCTAACAAAAATGCTGCTGGATGACCAACGCTTGAACACATTTATATTTTTTGCAGTCAGCACTGTAATAGTGGCAATGTGCTTTGTTCTTTACCAAATTGTAAGACAAACCGACTTTGTTCAGTTTTATCTTACTTTGTGCAGGGAATCTAAGAAAATCACTCTTGAACCTACTGAAGATGCAGGTCTTGTAAGTGGTTTGATTCATTCTTACTTTATTAATGAATTTCATGACTATATTTTTTATTAAAACAATGTTTTACTAGATTATTCATTATAATTATATTAACTATAATGTCAACACTTATATGTATCCAAAAATCTTGTCAATAGATAAGTATTAACATATTAAAAAAATATAGTCAAATCATAGAAAAAAAAATCAGTTTCATATTAAAAAATAAGTTAATATGAACCTTTTCCTCTCATCATATTACAGTGTATACATTTATAACTGAGATCTTCTCATGATTTCATACATATCCATTTTCTTTTTCTAAATGATAAACACATTTACATATATGATATTAAACCTATATCTAAACATTTCAATGGACAGGCCAAGGCTGACCACATTATTCATTTCAAATGAAGGTACAGCAATCTGGAACAAGGAATATACCAGTGACAGTGGGCTTTAAAAAAATTAATACCATTTCAGACTTTCAAGTTTTTATATAGAAACAATAAATCAAAACAACTTTTTCATAGGGAGAATTGTATGAATAGTAAAGAACATGTTTTGATTAATAAATAAAATTAGATTAAATTCATCCTGATGGTTTACTCAAGTTGAATTATTGTATATTTGAACTCAAGATAGATGTATGGCAAAGCTTATAATTGTCATTGAAATGTTCTTAAATATTTTAAAAGACTATGTATAGGAAATAACTAAAATAACTCTGAACCAGAGTTTCAATTTTGATTTCGTATTTTATTTTCATGTATTTTTTAAATTGGTGATCAAATATCTTTACAAATTAGGCATATTTGAAGAAAAATGCATTTTTGTCCATATTTTGAGGATTTAAATTAAATTAATTAATTAATTTAAAAAACTAAAGATGAAAAAAATAAAAATATATAATACAACATTGAAAATGATATACCGGATTACAATCTTCTTAATTTCATTTCCCCTTCTTATCCCTTTAAATATCACACTCAGTTTCAATTTCAGTTATCTCTTACTTTCTTTACAAGCGATAGTATTTATTTGAAATGCCAAAAGTAAGGTCTATGGTGGTTTTGTCAAAATTTAAATCTTGCATCAACCCTTACAATATAAATTTGAAAAAAATTTCAATTATCAAAAAATCGTTTTTCGCTACTACTGTTAAAAATAAGTTTCAATTAAAAACAACAGCCTGTAATTTTAGGTGCATAAAAATTTGCTCCTCTAACATTAGTTGAGGTAAAAAAGTTATTTCATTATTTTAAACATTTTTGAAACTATTGAAGATTAGGTTTTTCATAAACAAATTTAGAAATTCATTAATTATTTTTAATACAGAAAATGTCCCTAACTAATCCATTTGTTTTTTATTTGTTCATTTTGAAAATTAATTTTTCATTACAACATTGCTAATTTCCTTTTATTACTAAATATAAGTTTCTATTACTTTCATATTTTATAATTTTTTGAAATATCTCACATTATGTTTTTATGTATTAACCTGCATATTCTAAAAATATTTACATTATCTTTCTTAACACACTGTTTCTTAGTTGTTGTAAGTAACTGTTTTCATATTCATTTGCTTCAATTAGGTATATTTTTATAGACCTATTGCTATTTTTATTTTGTTAAAAATCTAAGTTTGTGTTACTTTGATATATTAGTTATTAAAAAGTCTTTCATATTATCTTTTTTAACATTAATTCAAATTTATTTTTATCTCCCATTTTTAGTGAGTCACGTAATGCTTTAATTATTTTGGTTTTCTGAAAAAATAATTTTCATTAAATTTTTTATCCTTTCTCTAATTTATTTTTTAGTTCAGAACATATCATAAGGACCTTAGTATATTTCAATATTTTAGCTTTCTTATTGCATATTTGGAGATTTTCAATGCGAAAAAATCCAGATGTTGCTTATAACGCCTTCTATTCTGAAAGTAACTATGGATAATTTGCTGGATTATTGTAATGAATATTTAAACTTTGTGTAATACTCAGTTGCCTTCCGCTACATCTTATGATGCCTTGCAAGTACATTCCATATCATGCGTCTGTAAATGATGATATTTAAAAAGCGTTTTGCATCTATATGTATAAACATACTGACTGTAAATTACTGTATTAACAGAAGAGTCTCTGATATGGATGGCTATATACCCAGTTTCAATATTCATAGACCTCAATTTTACCAACAACCCACTAATGTGATTAAGTAGATAGGCCAGGACTATCCCTAAGGATGCGTACGATAATTTTCTATTTTTAACAAATATTTTTTTCAAATCATCTGATTAATAATAAAGAGGCACTCAATTTCTCTCCTCTGTAAAACTGAGAAAATAACACCAGTTGCTAAATTTTATTTACAGTATTAATAGATTTCACAAAATTGTATCAGAATTGGTTGATATTTTTTTTTTTGAAGCGCTGATAAACCTTCATTGTGGAGGATATATATACCTGAATTACACTTAAGAAATTATTAGTTGGCCTGTACTAACAGTTGATCAAAATTGTCTGAAACGTAAAGAGCATCTCTCACTTCATACTGCCAGAAGGATTTCAAGACAGTTTTTCATCAACAGTACTTCTAGTTGGCTGCTTCTATGGAACATTGCTGCAGTTTTATCTAATACAAAAATTCTTATTACCTAAATTTGCCTGCAAATTATGTACAAAAGTTAGTTCCTTACACAGAAATATTTTATTAGTTTTCCTCCCAATTAACATATTCTGCATTAATATTTACAGTTTCATTTATTATTAATGAACTATCATATTTGTCAGATGGATCCAGCTGATGCTGCAGAAGGAAAAAACAGTCAATACGGAGTTCTAAAACTTCAACCTCAAAGTCCACTTGATAATTCTCAAGCTGCTCCAGGCCACTTTAGTTTTTCAAATCCAGTGTATGAGCCTTCTGCCAGTGTGGGCCCAACATACAAAGTTGAGGATGTAGTGGTTAGAATGACAGGAGATTCATCAACTTATAGAAAATCCAGTTCAGCTAAACCTTGGTCAGCTATCCGCAGTGAGTATTCATATTATTATTTCATTGATAGTTAAACTAGTTGTTACAAACTTAAGAAATATTTTTGCACTATTCTAATGGATAATTGTGTTGTTGAATTTTGTATTCAATCAACTTCGTTAACACAAAGTGTTATAGTGTCTGAAATTAATTAGATTCAGTAAGGCTAATATAATTTAAATCAATATCAAGACCATAATTAGGGAAAAACTTATAATTGTATGCATTCAAATCATCAAGTATGTTTTAAGTTGTCAATTATCGAAACTCAGAAACACTAAATAAGTTAAATAATAATTTAAAGGCAATTAAAGCATATTTTATTTGACATATTTGTCAGATAATACATATTATCATCCATATTTACTAAACAAAGAAAGTTAATTAATTTTAATAAAAGGAGAGAGAACAAATAAAAAGAAAATATTTTAGAAGTAAACAAGAAATCCAGTAACTTTTGGGATAGGAAAACACACCACATTAGGTGTACCACAAAGGTCTAAAATAGATTCCCTCCTAATTTTAGTTTTATTATTCATAATTTATTACATTCTACTTAACAAGAAACATGAACTTATTTTGGTTTATTTGGAACAGTCAAATCAACTTCTAATACCTTAGTGTTGAAATATATTCATTGGTTTCCCAATTAAGCAGTGTATAAGTTGGGAAATTTGAGAGTCTACTGAAATCAAATACCAATACATAATTATTTTAGGTAATGGAAATAGGATTTTTTTTATGCAGTTTTGCATTTGAATAGAAAAAATCTTGTGGTCAAGTGACAACATTTCAACAGGCAAGTACGTAAAAGGCCTACGATTCAGTACCTCTAGCGAAATTGTGGAAAGCTTTGAAAGCCACATCTATTAAGAGATACCTCATCAGAGCAATTCAAGCTCTATAAAAATATAACGGGGGCTATAAAAATAGGAGATAGAGTGTCTAGAAGCTTCTCCATTAACAAAGGATTGAAACAGGGCTGCTGCCTTTTACCCCTAATTTTCAATATTTATATAGAACAAGCCCTTGACTGGTAAAGATCATGCTGTGTAATGGGTGTTCAAATCAGGAATGATGTCATCTACAATTTGCAGTATGGCGATGATCAAGTCATAATCGCATCGGATCCGGATGATGTGAGCTATATGATGAGGAAGTTACTACACACGTATTCCAGATGGGGTCTTAAAATCAGTAAAAGTAAAACAGAGTGCATGGTTTTCAATGCTTCAAATTTGCCCCTTGAAATTGATGACTGGACACTAAATGTCAGCCAGCAGTTCAAGTACCTCGGATACTGGCTATCTTCAAAGGGAGGTAGTGAGGTTGACATCGAACATAAAATAAATAATGGGAAAAGAATAATGAGTTCGATAAATTCAACCCTACGGAGTAAAGAAATAAGATTGGAAACTAAAAAGAAGATATACCATTCCTTTGTAGAAAGCGTAGCCACTTACAGATCAGAAGTTTGGACAATGACAAAAAAGATGGAAAATAAGTTGCTTTCCATGAAAATGGATTTCTGGAGAAGAAGCTGTGGCATATCTAGAATCAAGCGGATCCCAAACGCAGCTATTAGAGACAAGGTCGGATGTCAAAAGAACGTCCTTCACCTGATCGGGACCAAACGGTTAAAGTGGTATGGCCACTTAATGCAGATGGATGAGAACCGCTGGCCAAAGAAAATTTATACCTATATGCCACCTGAAAGAAGGAAGCGTGAAAAGCCAAAGAAATGGATAGAGGACGTGGAGGAAAGCATGGCAGCCAGAGGGCTTCGTGAAGGAGATTGGCTGGACAGGGAGCAGTGGCTTTTGGGTGTTGGGGATATGACTCCTTAAGTTGTATAAAACCCAAATATAAAAAATAAAGTACGTAAATGTAAACTTGAAATCCAAAAGAGATGAGATCATGGGTGATAAATATTCAGGACACAGTCTTTTTAAAAAAAAAAATAAAATAAAAAAATATTAAAAAAGACTGCCTCCTGAATATTTATCACCCTTTAAAATATTTCTGTACTAAATAATTACGATGTATTTTTTAAAAATTAATTTACCTGGGAATTTTATTCCAACTGTTGAATTTATTGGAAATTTCTTTTCTAACTCTTGAAATTATTGGGGAAAATTTGTTGGTTTGTTTATATGTATATTTTTGGATTTACACTCATATGTATGGTCTGGAGTATGTCAAGAATTAATATTATTCAATTTTCTAAGCATACACATTCATGTTTATGTTACACTGGCAGTAACTCTTATGATTGGAAAAATACTTTATTTTAATAAGTTTAAATTATAATCAATTAAATCAACATTTTCAACAAATATTGGTAAATCTTGACAATATTTTTAATAAATGTATCTAAATTAAAGAATAATAATTTCTTTATGTAAATAAAATATTATTTATCTTAAAACTCACACCACGAGCTATGAATTTTAAATTTTTATTTGTATAAACAAATTGAATACTAGATTAATTAAATCTTTTTTAGAGATGATAAAATTATATTTGTATTCTATCTCTCTTATTGGTATATTTTCTTTCTTCTTAATCAGACTATATAGATATTTTTGAAAAGTTTCCAAAATTTCAGAGGGACTGAAAGCAAGATGGGAAGTAGCACAAAACATCTGGCACTACATGCTTGCAATCAGTTTGGTATATATGGTTACTTTAAGTTTATATCCTGGAATAGTATCGGAAATCGTCTCTTGCAAGTTTGGATCTTGGATGCCCGTAATACTTATGGCTGCTTTTAATGGATCTGATCTAATAGGAAAGGTAAATTTACAAACTCTATTTCCAGACAATATAATCCATAGAATTCTAAAATTATAATATTATTCTAAAATTTAAGATTTATTCTATGAAGTGATGGTTTATCATGAAAAATAAATTATAAATTAAAAGAAAAATGAATTACAGAAATTGATGATTTTTTTATAAACGTCTATTCATAATTTGATTGCTTTAAAAAAATTATATATCCATAGTGCACCCATGAAAGAACTCTGTCATTAGATAACTATTCTATTACTATCTGTATAAACAATGATTTATTATTAAAAAAGTTTCGTTAACACACACAATCCCTTAAAGCTCTCTACTTCATTTATTATAACTATGTTGAAGTAACAGTTTACTTAATAAGCAATTAGCTTTCACCTCTGTAATATTCATTCATTATAACAAATATATTTTTAAGGTTATTTTAAATTAGAAAAGGAGTCCCTATATAATGTGTTCCATGCTCATTTATTCAGTATAAAGAACATTGCCTCTAAAAGTATTTATTTGAACACCTTTTACAGTTCTAAAAAGTAGTTGGCACAAATACCTATATTACTTTCACTTACCTATGTATGTAATATAGTAAGGAAGAAAGTATTGCGATCGTGAAAATTTTCTAATCTGAGTTTTCAAAGGAAATACACATTTTGAGGTCCTTTGAGTCCAAATAACCTATAATATAATAAAATGTTCTGATGTGTATGTGAACAATATAACTAAAAAATGAAAAGTTGTATGAAACTGATTTTATTTATTTAAGATAGCTTGGGATATGGTTGGGATGTTACAGCAACTTTTTCCTAAAAATCGGCTAACCGGAAAAGCGACTTTTTTATCAATGGGCATATATATTTCTAGAATTTTCTCAACGGCTCTTAACGATTTTGATTAAACTCGGTATATCATTGTATAATTAAGTGGTCTTTAATATCATTTAGATCTTATCCCCGTTGATGTCACTTTACAGGGCTTAAATGCCCAATGTTCATATGCGTCTTTCTCTAAAGTACTTTTAATTTGGTTTATTTTAAATAATTAACCATTCCTCATTGTTAGGAGTTATGAAAAAAGGCTAAATACAACTTTCGAAAGAATTTGATAATTGAAAAATGGAAAAAAACAAAAAAACGGAAAATATTTATTTAGGTCGAAAATGAATCTCTGGAATTACTACTTTAATATCATTGATGTCATTTCACAGGGCATAAATGCCTAATGTTCATATACGCTTTCCTCTAAAGTACCTTTAATATGGTTTATTTTGAAAAATTAACTCTCTTTTATTGACAGTAACTATAAAAGATGGCTAAATATGAAATTTGAAAAGTGAAGAAAAAAGGGAAAATGCTTATCCAGGTCGAAAATTAATCTCCAGGAATACTAGTCAGAAGATAAACGTATAATATATCATTGAAATCGGAGAATTTTAGAAAAAAAAACAATATCTAATATAGCAAGTTGTAGAAGGTAACGGAGAGTGGTGAAAAAATTATAATCATTTTTGAAAACTAATATTATTTAATGTAAATCACATGTTTTCAAGGAAATTAAATGAAATTTACTAACTATACGTAAACTTTTAAAATATATTTAAGTTTGAAAGTTTTTAAAATCCCCCTAATCAAGACAATGAAATTGTTTAAAAAACTATTTCATTGTACTTGTGTGAAATATGAAGTGAAATATAAAAACATTTTATGGATGTGCGAAGTATATGTTTGTCACCTTAAATACATTTACTGTTGTTTAATAATGCTGGTTCTGATATATTTAAATAAATAGGTATCAACGTGTGTTTATTCCGAAAAATTGTCCTATAACCTTTTAGAAAATTAAATTAGTGAATAATTTGATGAATTTTCCCTGACATTATTCCCTTAAAATTAGTGTGACAACTTTTGATCTATCTATGGCAGGCAATAAAAATCTCATAATTTATTTTAGTAAACTTTACAATGGAAAATAACAGTTTAATAACTAATAGGAGTACAATCCATAATCATTTATAGATTGAATATACAGTTCTACTTTCAAATCACTCTAGTTTTATATATATATACTCCATCTGTTTTTGTAAACCACATAACTGGAGTCTCTGAGCTATATATATATATTTTAAATAAAAATTATTTTCTGACAATGTTAGGCTATTATAAAATTTTTGAAGTGCATTTTTTGCAAACATTTTATAATAGCCTAACATTGTCAGAAAATAATTTTTATTTAAAGTAGAGCGATAAGTGAAAGTTGTGTTGCGCACACCAGATTTTTTTAATTATAAAACTTACACAATATTACGTTTCTTCAACCGAGGTCATAAGTCTATTATATTTTTATGAAAATAAAGTGTTTCTCTCTTGTACTGTATCATTTTGATCTACTGATTATGGAATTATTAAGATATTTCATATTTCTTGTTAAATATTTTCTTTTACTCACATTAAAACCTCAAAAGTGACAAATTTTTATTAATGATTTGGATTTAAATTTCAGATGATAGCTTCCCTTGTATACGAATGGCCACGCACAAGACTTCTCATTTTTGCTGTTGCTAGAATATCTATGATACCATCTTTACTTCTCTGTGCGATGCCACGTGACAGGCCAATCACACCAGGTGAAGGATATCCATTGTTTTTCTCTATGTTACTTGGAACTACGAATGGTGTTATCGGAAGTGTACCAATGATCCAAGCACCGAGCAGAGTTTCTGAACAACATAGAGAGCTAGCTGGTAATTATGATAATGACCAGGTGTATAATTATGAAACCGGAATTTTCATGTAGAAAATACAACTTTATTGCTTAATAATGTTAAAAAATATTTTATTTGAAATATTGTCCGTCACTAGTTATACATTTTTCCATTTCTCTGGCAATTTATGAATGTCATGACAGTAAAACTGTTTCTCTTTTGTGGCGAACCAATCATCGAACCATTTTCGTATATTTTCATAAGCAGTGAAACACTGCTGAGCAAATGCATGGCCCAACTTTTCATTACCAGTTACTAGAAAAATGACTTTTGTTCTATCTTTCATTCAGATCATGTGGAGCCTTTTTTCTCATCTTCTGGATCTTTCCGATATATGGGAACAGCTTCTAGTTTTAAATTCAATCCATCCACTAGTTATTGTTATGTTTGAAAGTCATCCTCATCATCGACTTGCATTCGCTGCCTTCAAACTTTTTTTATTGGTCTTCCACATTCTTCATTTCTCATATCAAAATCCTCACTTTTGAATTTTTGAAACAACTCAAAGCACTGTGATTTACCAAGAACTCGACGGTCGATGCTCACCATAAGTTTTGGCAAGTATTCGATGCAATTTTACTTCAGTTTTCTTTATTTTATTAGGATTTTCCACTAATAGTGGGTTTCCTTAACCTAAAGTGCTTGGATAGCTTCTTTCCATAATGTCCTATCTAGGGTCCATTCTTCCCATTGACCATGACCCATCATGGATTTCTCCACTTAGTTATTCCAGGTCTTCCTCTTTCCCTAGTTTTCCATAAGTGGATTTCTTTGGGTAGTTTTCTTTCAGGCATTCTTTTCAAATGTCCAAACTACTTCAGGCGTTTTTTTCAGTCTCTTCCAGAATGTTTTTTTTAGCCTCTTTTTTCTTTTCTCTAGTGGTCGTGTTTCTCACTTTATCCATTCTGAGTATTCCCGCTTGTCTCCAGTAGTCTATTTCGGTGGCTAGAAGTTTTTTCCCCAGGTTGATTTTTATGGTCCAAGTTTCTGACCCATATGTAATAATGCTCAGTATTATACTATTGTAGATGTTTATTTTGTTTTGGGAATAATGTTCCGGTTCCATAATACCGAGTTGAGCATTGATATGGTCTTTTTGCCATCTGAAATTTTCTTTTTATTTCCACATCACATGCACCATTTATTTCAATTATGAAACCAAGATTTTTAATTCTTTTTAGAACCACTCCTGGATTCAGTTCTATATCCTCATTATTGAATATCATGTGTTCCGTTTTCTCTGCATTAACTAGTACCCACTCGATAATCTTGAACAGAGAAAGAGAGGCACGACACCCCTGGAGCTTGTTGGAAAAGGCTCAGATATGGTCCAATTTTGACCTGGTAGGTGTTTCCTTTGTACATTTCCTTTATTATATCTATCAGACCTATATTAATGTTTGCATTTTGGAGGGCTTGCCATAATAGACTTCGAGGGGCACTGTCATATGCTTTCTCCAGGTCTAAGCACTGTATTTCGAAATATTGTCAAAAGTTAGTTTTCTTTAAATTTTTAAACCATGGTATTACAATGAAACTTCTGTTGTTGTGAGTTGAAAATCTTTGCCTGCTGTCAAAGAAACAGAATGGTGCCACTAAATCGATTTAATGATAAATACATTAACATTTAGAGCCATCTATGAATGAATTCTAGTTTCATATTTACTCACCTGATATTCAATTTATTTTATATCTTATAATTAATAAGTGATTAAGTCTTTAAATTGAAAATGGACACAGAATTTATTTCCACTTATTTAAAATAATTATGATTTTTTATTTAATGCTCTCTCATCAACAGCGGAGATATAAATCTCTATCAGTTTTTCGAGTATGCTAACTTCATAATAATAATAATAATTATTATTTTTTATGGTCCTTCTATCTAACACAAACAAAATTAAAAAATTTACATTTTACCTACATATTTCAGGAAATAAATTAGTTTTAAATTAATTATTTCTAAAGGAATAAATATTTTTGTTTTAAAAATCCATTTCAGGAAACATCATGACATTGTCATATAACTTCGGGCTTACAGCAGGATCTTTGCTGGCTTATGTGTTCAAAGCGATGCTCGGAGCTCCATTAACAGATCCGTGTGGTACGACCAGGTCATTAACCACAAACCTGAGTGTTTATTATTACACAACTCTTTCACCTGAGGCAGCTACGTCCTTGACAACCACTACCTTGACAACATTAACTTCTGTAACAACTATAGCTACTAATGTTTCTACAGTTTTGAATCATTTTAATGCTTCAGCCAGTGTTTGAAATGATAATAGATCTCCAAAAAGTATGAATTTCATAAGTTAATTAGATTTAAATTTTAAAAGATTATAAAAAATAGAAGCTTTGTAGAGGCAATTGAGTTAAATACTTGACCACGACCCTCTGAATGTTTATTTCTCATTTTAAGAAGTATTTGTAAATGATAACTAAGTACCAGTAGATTGTAAATAGTCAAATATTCTCTTTCTTACAATTGTGAGAAAGGTATGTAGAGGTTTTAATTTATGTATATCCATTTTATAATACCATTTATTTGTATCAATAAATTTTCGTTTTAAAAATAAAACATTAATCTAAGTGTAAATAGTAAACTTATTAATTTATGTTTCATTATTTCTCTTTTTATAATGTAATTAAATTTGCTTTATACATTTTACAGAGAATCACTTAAAAGAAATGTAAAAAAAAATTATGCACAGAATCACTCGTAAAAATATACTTCCTAAACTACACAATACAGATTTTATGGAACAAGTTTAATTTCAAGTACAAATATATTTACATTATTATCTCACATAACAAATAAATAGGAAACTTTATTAAAATCCTGAATAAAATTAAAATAAGAAAGAATATATTTATTGAATATTTTTTTACCGATTAAATTTTATAAAAAGAAATAAACACTCGGAAAGTCTTAGAATATGGAACTAGATATTTAAAAAAATACAAAATTATGCATATTTATAAATATTATTAAATAATAAAAACACAATTATATTTTAGTTTTTAATAATAATATGCATTGATTGACACATATTGTGTAATTTAGTACAAAAAAGTACGTAGACATATCTTCGTTTCAAACACTTAGTAAAATTATATTAACACAGCACCTGTTGCAGTTTTATGATCTTTCAGGCTTCCTGTAAATAAGATAAAATAATTTTACCAATGTTGTTAATGTTTATATAAATGTCTATATAGATGTAAATATATTTGTTGATAAATTTTTGTGTTATTTAAAAACTATAACTTCATTTCACCTCAGGATTAAAACTTCTCATTAAAGGAGTTTTATTCCACTGTGTTTATAAAATTGGATGATTTGTTTTTTTCTTTATAAAACATCATCTAAACAAAATGAATTTAATAAATACCACTAAATCATACGATTAACTACAAATATAAATTAATTTGTCCTAAAATAAAAAGAAATGTTTTTATAATAAAGTGGCAGTCAAAATAACCGGTGCACTTTCAATTTTATGAAAAACTATACTTTAAAGAAATATTTTTGAGCCTCAAGTAATAACAAATATGTGACAGGTCAAAGGGAATTACCATGCATTAATCCTTTGGATAAAATTTCATAATTCTCTTTAAGATTAACAATAAAATGCAGATTTCATATCAGTTAGTCTCTAGTTACCTGTTCAATGACATTGATTTTCTCTTCTGTTTTTTTCTTTAAAAAAAATATTTCTTTTGTATCGTACATTATTAGGCGTTTAAAATGATTCTAGATGCTGTGTAGTAGCTTGGATTATTGCGTTGATTGAGGAAGAGGAAATATAACTTTTGAAAGAATTTGATAATTGAAGGAATTTGAAGGAGAACAAAAAATGCTTATCCAGGTCGAAAATTAATCTCCAGAAATAACAGTTAGGAGGTATACGTATAATATATAATATATATCTTTGGAAAGTGGAGAATTAAAAAAAACAATATATAATATAGTAAGTTGTTGAAGGTAACAGAGAGTGACGAAAAAAATATAAATAATAATTTCTAAAAACTAACATTATTTAACGTAAATGAGGTGTTTTCAAGAAAATTAAATAAAATTTTCTTACTAGATGTAAACATTTTTTTTTAAGTTTGAAAAAGTATTTAAAACACACGGTTTCAAGCCAATGACATTGTTTAAGATGCTATTTTATTGTACTTGTGTGAAAGAAGAAGTGGAATATAGAAATATTTCATGGATACGTTTATAACCTTAAATATATTTACTGTAGTTTAATAACTCTAGATCTGATAATATATTTAAATAATTAGGTATCTATCATCAGTTTATTCCGAAAAATCATTATGTGACCTTTTTAGAAAATTAAATTAGTGAATAATTTGATAAATTTTCCCTTTGCGATATTCCAACAGATTTCACTTACAATCAGTGCAACAACTTTTGGCCTGTCTACAATAGACAATGAAAATCTCTCAATTCCGGTTTAGTAAAATTTTCAATGTAAAATAACAATTTAATAACTAATAGTCGTACAATCCATAATCAACCGGTGATATAATAAATAGGATTTTTGTTATTTTAATCGTATTTATGATTTGTTAGCTGTAATCTTTTAGCTTTAGCTCAGTTAAAAATGCAATTAAAAAATTTTATAATCGCCCAACATGGCCAGAAAATAATTTCTATTCAAAGTTGCACCAGATTTTTTATCTAAGCTTTATACAATTTAAATGTATTTTTACAACATGACCCATAAAATTTATATTAAGTTAAAACCATTCACTTTTATGCCATTGATTGAGTAAAAAACTAAAAACAAAACTGTTTAATGTTTCAGTCATTTTCTCTTTAAAAAAAATAATATTGAAATATGTTATTATATTACTAAAAATAGAAGTAATATATGTGAAACATTATGCTTTAAATTTATTCTCTTCTAAAAACTACTGATTAAAAAGTGTTTATTTAATCTAATTGTGAAATTAACATAATAGCTGTACCAGAGGCAAACAATGAAATGAGCACAGTAAAAAAAAAATATATATATATATTAAAACAGACTACTTGCCATGGCATTAAAAATGTTGTTTATTTTTTAGGGTGTTTGTGTTAACTTTCTGCCTTATTGAAATGCCATGAGATAGTTTGAAAATAGAATAGCGTAGATTTACATATCCGTAATCAGGTGGGTCTTCTCTTTATTTTTCTTTTTCTTTCTTATTTCAACCTTCTCAGTTTCCTTCCTCCTTCCTTTCATCCCTCTGCTCTGTTTTAACTCTGTATTATATTATACATTGTCTATACATCTTGATAGACTTTACAACATCTCAATTTTCTATCTAACTATTCTATTCACAATATCTTAATTTTACTGTTTATTTCCATTTCTTGAAGTTACATAAGAAATGGAAATAAACAGTAAAATTAAGATATTGTGAATAGAATAGTTAGACAGAAAATTGAGATGTTGTAAAGTCTATCAAGATGTATAGACAATGTATAATATAATACAGAGTTAAAACAGAGCAGAGGGATGAAAGGAAGGAGGAAGGAAACTGAGAAGGTTGAAATAAGAAAGAAAAATAAAAATAAAGAGAAGACCCACCTGATTACGGATATGTAAATCTACGCAATGAGGGTGTTAGTCAGGGTGGGGACCATTTTCCATTTCTTATATAACTTCATATTTTTCTGTTTTTACATTTTATTCTAAGATTCCCATTTTAATACTTATGTCACCTTTTTTTTTTTTCATTATGTTTACTTCATCATTCCAAACTTTGCACCGCTTATTATCATTTATCTCTTTTTTCTTACTATTGTCATTATTCTAACAACTGAATTTTACTTTAATTTTTTTACCTACACTACTTATGTTTCTCATACCTTGTTATCTGGTTCTTTTCTTAGCCCTGATGATGGCCTGAACTTCAGGTTGAAATGTAGGCTAATGCCAAAATAAATAGTATCATTTATTTTTGCCTTCTTATTTGACTGATCACCCCAACTATTCTTCTCTCCATATTTTATATTTTAATTTGTTTGCACCGCTAAGCAGGGATAACAGAACACACCCTAGGATCACCTTCCCTAGGAAGCCGCCCCGGATGGGGGAGCACGTCAGGACGCTCTGAGGAGGCAGCCCATCCACCTGACTCAGGGGCAGTGCGCTGATGATAACCCGTTCCACTTAAATTATCTCTATTGTGAATGCTCCAAAAAGATTAGCCGGAGCGATAAACAGGAAACGACACAACGCTTATCAATTGGACTACACTTTGGCTTCATGGAACGTTTTAACTCTACATAGATCCGGAGCTACACAAACGCTCCTAAACATTTTAAAAACATATTCAATAGACATAGCGGCCATCCAAGAGATCAGGTGGACTGGACAAGGCAGCCTTAAGAAAGGCCAACACACCATTTATTACAGTTGTCATGACCGATTACACTCGTTTGTGACTGGATTCATTGTGGGAAGAAGAGTGACCCAGCAAGTTATAGATTTCAAGCCTATCAGCCCCAGACTCTGTGTCTTGCGAATCAAGGGAAAGTTTCACAATGTCAGCACCATCTGTTTACACGCGCCTACAGAAGTCTCTGAAGATGAAATGAAAGACGAATTCTATGAGGAACTGGAGAAGTGCTTTGATGACTGCCCTGCTCATGATATGAAAATAGTGATTGGAGACTACAATGCTCAAATTGGAAAAGAGAAAGCATTTAGGCCTACTATAGGAAGAAATAGCCTTCATGAGAACTCTAACAACAATGGAAAAAGGGTGGTGAACTTCGCAGCCTCTACGGGTTTGGTTGTGGGAAGTACCTATTTCCCGCACAAGTTAGTGCATCTAGAAACATAGAGGAAATTCGGATGGAACGGATCCACTACAAGCTCTCAGATCGATCATGTACTCGTCAGCGCCAGATATAAATCCTCATTACTTGATATTCGCACAAAACGAAGGGCTAACATTGATTCGGACCACTACCTTATAATTGCAAAAATAAGGTATCGGATATCAACAGTGAAGTACCAGCCTTGACGTTCTCTGAAGAGGTACAATATTGAAAAGTTTAAGGACAGTGATACAAGCATTAGATTCTCATACCAACTGGACATCAGATTAAGGAACTCTGTCCCAGAATCAAATCTCGAGTCACAATGGAACTCATGCCACACTGCACTTATGGAAGTAGCGAACGAGGTTGTAGGAGATAAGACCAAGCAGATATATAACCCGTGGTTCGATGACGAATGTGGTGCAGTGGCCAAGAGAAAAAACATTGCATACAATAAAATGATGCAAAGGAAGCACACACGAAGCTCTGTCGAGGAATACAGAGCAACAAGAAGGCGCGAGAGGCATGTCCATAGGAGGAAGAAAAGACGATGGGAGAATAAGAGTCTACAGGAGATAGAAGAGGCCTTCATCTCCGAAAATACTAGAGAATTCTTTCAGGTTATTAATAAAGGAAGAAAGCCCTTTATCGCCCGTACCACAGGATGCAGAGCAAACGATGGCTCCTTAGTAACTGACAAACAAGGCATTTTGGACAGATGGGCTGAATACTTTTCAACTCTTCTTAACAGAAATGGCACAAATGTCTCAGAGGCGAATGATCCAATTACAGGTGGTGAAGACGTAGAACCCCCAGACGAGGAAGAAATCAATGAAGCCATAGAAGGACTAAAAAGTAAAAGAGCCCCAGGCATTGACAACATCCCTGCAGAGTTCTATAAACATGGTAGTCAAGAGCTCATAAAACTCTTAGAAGAATATATAAAACTCTTATTAGACCAGTGCTCACATATGGCTGTGGGAGTTGGACCTTAACTAAAGCAGTTGAGAAATCCCTGCTCAGATTTGAAAGGAGGATTATACGACGCATATTTGGAGGGGTCCAGGAAACACCACAGAATTGGAGGAGGAGAACGAATTTGGAAATAAAGACATTGTTTAATGACCTGGATGTGAGCCAATTCATCGTACTGGCAAGACTACGCTGGGCGGGACATGTCGCACGGATGGATATGAATGCACCCCCACAGAGAGCTATGAATGAGACTGTGTTTGGGAACAGACAAGTGGGAAGACCATGTGGCTGCTAATGCATGTAGACTACTTGGTGTCAGAAATTGGAAGGCTGCAGCAGCTAACCGGGAGAACTGGAGATTCATGCTGGAGCAGGCCAAGTCTCAAATAATTGGGATGTAGTGCCATTTAATAATAATAATAATGTAATGGCATTAATAGGAACTTGTCCATAGTAAAACAATACCTTAAATATTTTAATAATTATAGAAGATTTTTTAAAAAAGTATTTTGATTGAAATTACACCAGTAATTTGTTAACATGTTAGATCACTTACCCAGGGGCCTAATACTGCATCTTTTATAGAATCGACATATTGAGCAGGAACCCAGTAGACCCAGTACCTCGAAGCATCACTAGTACCCATCTGAATGCCCTGCAAATCAATCAATATCTAATTATTATAAATTTTTCACATCTGTTAACAGAAATTAAATAATAATTTATCTTATTCTGATGGGAATTCAAAAGTAGGAGCAATGATAATTGATATAGAAGTCAGGAAACAGTGAAAAAAACAACAGAATACATCAAATAATATTTTTACATGATTTTATCAATTTAATGAACTGAAATTCTCAACATTATTATTATTATTATGGCAAAACTTATAACTAGAGACCAGATTTTCATATTATTGCACATTTTGTTCGCTTGATTTTTCAGCAATTAATTTTGTTACAGGAGGAATTATCTTAATATAGATTCATCTATGTTAATATGGCTGCCTAAAACTGTTTAAAAACTTCCAGTAGCATATCTTAAAGTTATGAGTAATAGGCATAAAGGTGTTACAGGCGTATTTCTATTGTTGTGAAATGCATGCTATATGATTAATCTCAAAAAAGGCCATTAAATTAAGCAATGATTCTTTTGAAAACCTAAATCTTAATTTGAATTTTGATTAATCATAAAAATCAAAAGGATCATTTCTTACTCTGTACAATTTGTTTTTAGCAAGCAGATTGATAAGATTGAATAAGTCTTCATCCGATGATAAATTTTCTTCTGAAGAATGTTCTTCTAATAGCACCACCATGTTCTAATTCGTAAGATAGTAAGAAAAATTCTAAACAATCCCGGCCAAAATAGAGCCAAATATCGGAAGCTTGCAACTTTAGCCGCAGCTAACGTGTCAATTACCAAAATTAGCAATACTAAATCAATCATCCTGCTATGGCACAATACCATGGTAGAATTGGCATGACAAAACAAAAATACATACATACATACACACACATACACAGGGTGTCCCGTAAGTAGAGGGAAATTTTTATAGGAAAATAGCAGGCCTCAACAGCTACAAAAAAAGTTCATTAAAAAAGAAAATTGGGCCAATTTTCAGCAGGAAAGTAGAAAAGTTTTGTGTTGAACAGGAAGCGATAATTTAAAAAATATTTAATTTAAGTAATTAGCATCTAGCTAGACAATCTACTGATAGTCAAAGATGTATTAGACATGTGCGAATGTAAAAATTAAATTAAATTATTATAATTAATCTATATGTGATTAATTATTTATCAAACCCTTTTTAATCTCACAGTCTTTTATTATACATTTAAAACATTTTTATAAACATTTAAATATTATTATTTTTTGACATTTCGGCTCCAAGAGCGATTTTAAAAAATTCTTTTTCTTTTTAAAAAACAAAACATATACCTAGTACCTCGTTCTGCCATAAATATTGTTACAAAAGTTGAACTTTTTTTACATCCTTGTGTATTATTTAGAGAATCCTTGCCGATATCAGGTTATTTTCTTTACATGTCAGGATAATAATTCCAATTAGTTGTATTTTCTTTCTCTCAGGTAACATGGAGTGGGGTGATAAAGAAAACTGAATAGCTGTGATCGCCTTACACAATGTTGGAAAATTTATGTCAGAGATTTTCAACACTTTGAAACCTTTGAGTATCAGCCACATGCTTGTGTACCACACTATAAATAGATATAATGAGACCTTATCTGTTTGTGACAGACCTCGACCGGGTCGTACCGCACTGTGAGAACGGCAAATGTAGTCAGAGCAGTGGCTGCTCAAATCAGAAGAAATCCCACGAGAAAACAACAAACCATGTCTCTGGAAATGGGAATCTCTGTCAGATCGGTGTTTCACATAATAAAAAGTGTCCTTAGGATGGGTGCATTTCGAAGAATGACAGGACAAAGGCTAACCACTTCCCTAAAAAAATATTGGATAGACGGATAGATGCTATATGCTCTTTGGCCGCTATACCAATTGTCTTCATCAAAAAATTTTGTTTAGCATTGAGAAAAGATTTAAAATTGAAGAAAAATTTAATTGCCAAAATGATTGTGTGCATTCGCGCAGCTCTAAAGAAGCCCAGGAAGTCACTGGAAGAGTGGAAAGAGGTCATCACCCTTCCTCAGTGATGGTTTGGTGGGGAGTTTGCTTCGATGGCACCACAAAGCTGCTACATTTTTGTGAAAAAGGAGTTAAAACAGCCTCTAAAAACTATCATGATGATATTTTGGAACATGTTGTCAAGCCTCTAAATGATACTTTGTTTGCTAGAAGTCATTGGGTTTTCCACTCCAGCTCACAAGGCCAGATTAACTCAGCAGTGGCTGCAAAAGAACATTCCAGATCATCTCTGCCTCGGATTGGCCCTCAAGAAGCCCTGAACTCAACCCACTAGATTAGCAGCTTTGGTCCGAACTGGTGAGGATGACATGCCACAGAGCACATCTTAACTTGGAAAGCCTCAAACAATCTCTGGTCCGAGCAGTTGAGAGCTTTCCTCAAGAAGTGCTGCGTGCTGCTATTGATGACTGGCCACTGAGTTTAAATGCCTATGTCAGGGCAAAAGGAGGACATTTTGAGTAATTTCTTTTTTTACTACTTATAGATATGCATTTTATTTTCTAATAAAGTTCTTAAAAAATTAATTTTTTTTGTTGAAATCTGCATATATTTCCTTGTAACAATATTTAAGACAGGACTAAATATATAAAAACATTATTTCTTAAAATATATAGTATATAGAATACTACTCTATAGTAGTACTTATTTTATTATGTATAAAATTTTTGTTGTTTTATTTATATTTTTCTTCCGAAATTCCACAAAAAATCCTCTTCATCTCCTCATTTTATCAAAAAAACAAAACAAAATAAGGTTATTTGTCATAAATAAAGTTCAAAATAAAAAAAAGGAATTTTTTTACTTAAAGCAATTGCTTTTATGTAAACTAGACAAAATTTACATCCAATGAAACTAGAGTTAATCATTGTTAAAACCACTAAAAGGTGACTTTTGAGCGACTAAGCTAAGCTAAATTATGTTTTTAAAAAAATGATACCTTATTCAAGATTTTTATTTATAATCATCTAACTCATAAAATATATACTTCTTGAGTTATGCCCAAATAACATTTTTTTGGTCTCAACTTTTTCTTCCACTTTATCTAGGGGATGTGCTACATACATCAAAACTTTAGAGGCTTCAATGCAAAGGCTTTTTTCATCAAAATCATTAGTGTCGTTTTGGCGCTATATTCTAAAGGAAATCCTGTTTTTGAATTTAAGAGACTCTGTAATGTAAAGATATGTTGAAAAAAAAAAAAAAAAATTGACCCGACTACAATACTTTCCTCACCCAGTATCGGTGGGAATGTAAAAAAAAATATTATTAACTTGGATTTAACAACTTTCATAATATACTGAAATATACTTTTGAATTGAATATATGTGTTCTTTCATTCACAAAAATATGATTGAAATTTATTTAATTCTTAAGAAATTCATAGAATTTGAGTAAATAAATGTGAAAAAACTTACCATGATATGATATTGTGAATGTCCATCAATAGGTTCGCTAATTATATTTTTGATTGAGGTCATTGGAATTTTTTCAGTTCTTTCTTTAGTACCAATCCACAATTGGTCTAATTCGAGTTTGAATGTTAGCCTCACTTTTCCACCAGACATATTTAACATTCCACAAAGCGGGAAAGGAGGTAGAGGTTCCTTATAACAAAAAATATGATTGTGTTTGGTCAGGCCGACTTAAACATTTAATTGTTTAATTGACTTTAAAGAAATTGCTGCATTTATACACAAAATACATTTTTTAAAAACTATGCTACATATTATCATAATACTGGCACAACAAGAAGAAATCTCTCACAAAATTAAATAAAAGATAAGCTAAAATAAACATATAATCACAAATAGACAATGGCTTTATATTACCATGGAACAATACAACAAAATCACAAAGAATACTCTAATTTGATTTTATACATCTAACCATTGACATTAATCCATTCAAATATAGAAAAATCATGGAAAGAAAGTAGTATTATGCTTAAGACCAACTCTTTAACTCCTCCCAACTAACCCTAACCTTTCAAAGAAAAGGTAATAAAAACTTCCTCCACCCTCCCTGAAGGATGTACTTCCTAAATCATAAGACTTAAAACAAAAGCCTAATGACACATCTGAACATGAACATATATACAAATATATATGTGAGTGTGTGTGTGTGTGCGTTTGTATGTAGCTGTGTACATATATTTATGTATGTAGCTCATACCTTATATATAATGTACTTATAATTTTTCAAATAATTTTTGTATTTGTTTTTGCCTAATCATATATTTTTTATCATTTATTTATTTATTACATTTTCTCTTTTTTAGTACATTTTGGTACTGTTCATTCATCTGATACTGTTATTTATTTTATTTAATCATCAATTTTATTAATTTTCTCTTTGTAATATATTTTAAGTACCATTCCTTTTAAATATCTTTAGCCAACACATATTTTAATAAGCTATATATATATACTATGCTTGGATCATTTAAATGAATTAAAGCACAGAATAAATATACAAGGGTAAAATTAAGCTTTTTCCTCAACATTAGAAATTTTATTAGTAGAATTTTTTAGTTAACAGAAATTTATTTAAAATATTCCTAGATAGATCAATATTAGTAAACACTTTTAATAATGCATTATTCTGTTTCTGATGAGAAAAGTAATATGGTATGTAGCATATATCTTATTTCTAATTATTTAGATATAATATATTGTGTAATAAGTTTCAGCTTTCTGATTTACAAAGTTACTAACATTTGTTTTTGATAAATTAATTATTAAATCTGTTTATATTGCTATAAATATGTCATCCAATAAACATTTTCGGAATATTTGTTAATATACTTCATTTTAAATAAGATATTATCTATATATATAAGCTATTAGATGTTTATCATTTTGAAAATTTACTTGATTTTTTTTAATGATGAAAAGAAACATCTCTTTCTTTTTTCTGTACATACAGCCTGCAAGATCAAACCATTCCTTTCAGAGAACTAAATCCAATGTATTTAGCCTTCATCAGATATTTAAAGAAAATGTTTAGAAGCTTTTGTAAACTTAAGAAAAATATAATAGTATAATTATAAATATAATGAAACTATGGATGAGTATAGATCATAACATTTATAAACTGATAACTTACTAAATAAAAGTATTAAACCTTTGCTTAGAAACATTAGTAAAAGGAACTTATGCTGAGCCCTTAATGTATTAAAATCTGATACAAATATAAGGTTTGTGCGAAGTATTCGCACGGGTCAGCTAGTACTTCTTTAATCCTAAAAAATAATTGTATTGTTTTTAGAATGATAAAGATAAAAAATGCATTCTTTCTATAAAGCGAAATTTTTATGTATTAAATTATTTTAAAGAAACCAATTTCTTCGAGATAAAGAAATTTAGATAGTTCTTCAGAATTAACCAATATTTTAATTTGCTAGAAAGAACCTAATCATCATTAATAAGATAAATTAGCTATATTTCGTACTTTGCATCATTCCAAAATTGCAAATATTTGATTAAAACAAATCTGATGGACTTCAGTTTTTATATTTCAGCAAAGATTTGATTTATTTAATTAGATTAGTCAAATTAATAGCATAAGTTATTTGAATTCAAATACCATGTTATGACGATTATCAGTAAGGGCAAAGGGGATGTTGGTTCGATGATTTAAGTTTGAAATATAAAAATTATGTTTAATTTCCTAGACAATACTGAAAATTTTGACGAACAACTGACAAACATTTCGATTAGCCTGTTCACGCAGTCAATTATATATTAAAAGATACAAACATTCTGCTGTGAGGGGTAGAGGACCATTATTCAACTTTCAGACACACTCAGGTTTTTCAGAATTCCATCTATAATGTGCTTAATGTGATCTTGGAGTAGCAATTCAAAACTAATAACCTAATTTATTTGGTACTACTGAAAAATGACCCGTTGCGGTTTTTCCTATCCGTTATGAGCAAGTGGAAGTCAAAAGTAGAGATATAATTAAAGCTAACTAGAGCCCCAATTTTAACATAAAAGTAACAGTAGCGAGTTTGCTGAAGACAAATCACAATTGAAATAAAGGGAGGTTATACTGCGAACACACTAACAATCCTCGTGATCCCATTTATTTTATGATTATTTATGGTTTTGGTCCATTCATTAAAGTGGTGTGACGCTTATACAGTAGTCCCATTTATTTATATATATATAAAAATCACAATTACTATGTACTATATAAGCTAAGAAATGTTCTCATGCCTGATGGCACTCAAATTAGAAAAACAATACTGTTATATTTAGTATCAATTTCTTATTATTACTTGTTTATTTTTTCTGACTTGGTGGTGTTGGTAGAAAAAGTAATACTTCGTAACCTAACAACAACATATGTTAACAATAACAAAATATTTCATTTAAGAGAGATAATAGAATCAGTTTAATTTTTCAGCTGTGTTATATCTTAACATTTAAGTTTTCATAAGTATAAAATCAAAACCAACTATACTTCCTAGTGCAAAGAGATAAAAGAGACAAAATCTAGTAATAATAGGTAATAAGACAAATTTTAAAACACATAAATTGGCTTACTTTGGCATCACGAATACCAGGCAAGACATCATCAGGTATTCCTTTATCGATTACCTTTTTGTGCAATTTTTGACGACACAGTGGTTCTTTACTTACAACATGTGCCTTTTCTTCAGCAACCTATTAACAAAAACATTTATTAATAATAAAATTCCAATAAGCATATCATAAAAACAAAATAAGTGATGTTTACTAGGGTACTAGGAGTGGAAACCGCCAGAACATCATCTAATTTAGATCCCACAACCATCACTTTGACCCCAGGAGTGATACCTATTTCTCTTAAAGTTTTATCATCTTTGGCCAAGCCTTTATACATTACTTTCTGGAGAGGTTGGGGAACATCTAGAGAAAAATTAAATAAATAACAATTGAAATGAGAAAAACAACTAAAAATTCATATACACTTATAACACTTACTAATTATGTTCTGAAGATGTTGTTTTAATTTGCTCACTGTTTCATCAAGAGGAAACTGAACATCAAATTTATTTTTGTTATGGATTACTACAAAACTAACACTTTCTTTAGTAGAAAGGGGATCCTTTTCCTGAAGATTAGCAGCATCAGTCTTAGTATCTCCATTCTCATCAGGTTTTATAGTCCTTTCTTTAAAATTAAAAGTCAAATTGGCAATGACTAGTTATATTTAATGTGAAAATTAAAAAAAAAAAAATGGGTGAACTATCATTACGAATTTGTTATGAGAAATGTTCAAAGAATATACATATAAACTATTCATATAAATGATTATTTTGAAGGTTCCTTCAAAAATGAATTATTACCTGGAACAATATCAGAACCCGTACCCTCCATTTCGTACGCCGAAGCGTTTTTATTTATTTTTCATTACTTGACAGCACTGATACAAATAAAGAACCAAGTTGACAATTTGTAATGAAAATCAAAAACAGAATAACCTCCTCTCATAGGTCAACCAACATTAAAGTATCACTGTCAAAGCCTTTTGTATCCTGCAAATTACCATTATCATAAATGCAAAACGAATATGCCATAATACTGCTAGAAGAATATTTTATATTTAAATAATCATTAATGAATTACAATTATTCATGAAAGAATAAATTACAAACATAAAAAAATGTTTTGCATCATATATGTACCCCCCCCCCTTTCCCAGAAACAACAATTACATCTAGGTGAAAGGATTTATAAAAAATAAATAAATAAATAACAATGTCATGTTTTATTTTTAACAACTTCATTCTTACATTCAGAATACAAATTCCACAAGCTTACTTTGTTGTCTTTACCACCAGCTATAACCAAACCACTCCCACAAAAAGAAACATTCTGGTTTACAAAAGCAATACCATCAACAGAACTACTATGATGTGTTAAGACTGCAAGCAATTTTAAACTTTTCATTGTATAATATCTTATTCTACCATCCCAACATCCAATAACACATAGTTTTCCTTTTTCATTAATGGCTATAGAGCTAACACCTGGATTGGTTAAAGTCACTTCTCCAACAATGCTGATTTTCTGATCATCACATAACTTAAACTTTAATAATGTCTTACTATTAGTTCCCAAAATCCCTTCCTTTGTAAGGTCACAATAATCAATAGCCATAGGACAATCTTCAGTAACTTTAGTTTGATATAAACAACTCCAATCCATATTCCATAAAATTAGTTCCCCAGATTCGTAACAAACCAAAATACATTTTATAGGAATTATGACTTTAAGACACATAATTTCTCCAATTTTTTTATCTTGAGGTTGAATGATTTCTTTATTACTGACAAAGTCATGTAAAGTAATACTGCTGCCACTGCTGGGCAGTACAATATAACTATTAATGGAATTCATTTTGCAGAATCCACAATAATCATGATTCATTATCTTCTGGAGTTTCCAAAGACCTTCACAATTTTCTTTCCAAAATTTAATGCTAGATCCTTTTAGTTGTGTTACAAATAAATTGTTAATGAAAAGAATACAAAGACAAGCTTCACTACCAACTTCATGTTTAATCTTTTCTCTTTTTAACTAAAAAAAATAAAACAAATCAATTTAATCATTTGGTATTGATTTTTTACAATTGCTATTTCAATTGTTTATAAATGTTACCTTAAGGTCCCAAACATGGACTTGTCCAGAATTTGTGCCTATGTAAAGTAATTCATTAGATTCATTTATTATAGGCAAGATGCAGTGTACTGATTTCATATTCCCTCGGAATGAATACAGAGGCTCAGGGGGAGGGTCTGGCATCTAGAATAGTGTGAAGAGTCTTTATTGAAATTATTCCATACTTTTAGCATAAAATTACTTATGCAATAATGGTATGACAACATAATTAAATCTAATAGTAACCAATATCAGATTAATAAGGTATTATTCCAAATTAATCTTATATTAACAATTATTTCCTTCTAATGGCTAACTAGCATCAAGACTGGAACTAATACTAATAGAAAAATTAAAAACTGTATAACAAATATGAAAACACATCAAAATTTAGAGAGATATTCAACATCAGAGGGAAATACTAAGCATTTACTGAGCATAATTATTTGTTCCTTTAGATAACATTAAATGCGAAAAATGATAATTGAGGTGATTCAAATTAATCATTTTGAGAATAAATTATTGTAGGCGTTATTAATTATCTCGAAAACCAAAAGTTATTCTTAGTTTAGTAGGTATACATAGATACTAAGTTTTCATAGAAATTATAGAAAACTTTTCACAAAAGTTATATTTTAATCACTACCAATGGTAAGGATCAACATAAGCTTAGCTTCTACCAAATCAATCAACGAAAAAGTTAATGCAATTTTGTTTTTAAAAAACTCTTGTTGTTTATTGAATATATTGGTACTCTAAGTAATACACAAACAATATTAAAATGCAGTCATAAGAAATTCAAGTAAAACTAAATAAATATCTAATGGTGCCTGCCAAAATTGGTGGGCATTTTTATTAAATATCAGTTTTGGTATTCCTTCTTGGTAGGAACTATCAAGTTCCACTAAAATTAGTAATTTGATATTAAAAAGACAGAACCTATGAAAAAATTAACAACCTAAAAAATAGAAAATATCCCATATGATACCTCCTATATCTAATAATTGTACAATATATATTGAAGATAAGTAAGATTTCAAAAGAGGTTAAAAACTAAGGAAAATAAGCAAATTTTTCGACAACCGAAATTCCACTAGAAACAAACACAATTAGTTAATTTTAAAATTAAATAAAAATTGCTAAACCTTAAACAGAAGTAGAACAGGGATCTAATAAAAATGAACATATCTCTAAAACAGTATATTTTGTTTTAAAACAGCAACTAGCTGTCTGTTACTAAGAGGTAGAAAAGTAACTTAACATTGTCATGCTTAAATCTAAAGGTGCATTTAGTAATTTCTCAAACTATGGGAAATAATTATTAAACTTGACTAACAGCGACATTGTTGCCAGACCAGACTATTGATTTTATTTTTCTTGATACCGACAGCAGATGGAAAATATCGAAAACAAATTCAATAGCATAGTAAAAGAACGAACCACTTATATATTTGTTTGTCCCATAGTTTGAGGAATGTCTAAACGCACCTTAATACTTTAAGATTTAAACCTAGTACTTTGTGAAACTTAATACTTTAGAGAAGTTATCTCCAAACATTTTATCCCACGGGCTGTGGCCCTGAGATCTCCACTAAGTTCCGCGTGTCGCACTGAGACATCCACTAAGTCTAGGGCTATGACTTGTGATGAAAATAAAAAACACTTGTTCTATAAATTACACTTCAGTTGTGAAATGAGCTGTCTAAGAGAAACTCATGGAATAAGCGCTGTAGTAACTTTGTATTTGAATGATTTGCTTAATTTCATATTTTTAACATTTTGTGTAATAAAAGAGACCTTCGCGTGTTGTATTGGAGATACTTGCGGGCCATAGTTTGGAGACCACTGCTTTAGAGTACTAAATTTTCAAACTTCCTAGTTGGTGAATTTTGACGCTTAAAATTGTCACAATTGAATTTGATTTTTCCAATAAATTATTAAGGGATAGGAAAGGCAGAAAAAGCCAATTCTTCATCAATTAAACACTTATTATATGTAGTTTAAGCCTATTAATAACTATGGAATTATGTTTATTCAAAAATTGTATTTTTTAAAATTTAGTCATAGGATAGTAGCAATTTCTCAATGCCCATACTTTTTATTAAAAAGATTCATCAATCAAAGTCTCATCCACCCTTGCATCAGGGAAATTTTTGGAAATTTTTAGGTGGTCGTTCATGATCAGTCCATTCGCCAAATGATACGATGCCACACCATTATCTTAACGTTTCTGGGGAAACTAGTATGGATGCACCGAAGCTGATAAGAAACTTAAGGGTATTCTACACGAACGGAATGGTTCCAGTGACTGAGAATTGTCAATTGCGTCGGATCGGTAAGGGGCAAGGTCTAAAACTACCAGGTACGCTCATTCAGAAATGGGTGGTGGGGAGACTTGAAACGTGACGTAAGGACTAGACCGCCAGACCTACTTATTACTCTTTCAAGCCTATCAATGAAGGATTATTTCAATATTATTATGCTTTTTTTTTCTTTTCTTATTTAATTTATTGAAAAGAATACTTTTCTATGTTTTTGACGTTTGATTGAAGATAATTTCATGTAGATAAATAATTAAAGACGACTAGCAATCTAGAATAAAATGCTATGAAAATTATAGGTTAGATCTGAAACGAAAAGAATTGAAATTCTTTATTATTCACATATTAAAATTGAGAAACCGCGTAAAAAAATTAATATTTCCCAGTGTGTTCGGTACCAGTAATATGGGCACACTAAAACTTATTGCAACAATCGACCACGATGCGTAAAGAGCGGTTCGTATCATGAAACCAGCATATAAAAATCATGTTTGAAAACCAGAGACAACCCCGCAAAATGCGCCACTTGTGGCGGTCAGCACCCCGCTAACTACAGAGACTGCCAGACACTGAAAGATCTTAGGGTTCAGCCCAATGCAAGAAAACGTCTTCAGCGTTCCACTGTAGTAGAGCCAGCGAAGGGAGCTCCAGGCATGGATGAATTCCCTCCAATATGGCAACGTCACAACCAAGAGGAATCGCAGATCATCGCCGGAACACCGCAACAAGATCAAACATCATCTAGCTCAGCAACCCAGAACCAAAAAACATGTACAGGTACGAGGAGTGACATTGCCCAACCGGTACCTCCGATAGATAATGGCTCTTCCCAATTATTTAATATAATTAATGGATTAAATAGCCTAATCCAGCCCTTTTTCATTTTCTTCAACAAGTATCACAGGTTAAACAGGTCTAGTGCCCAAATTATGGCCCACAATAATTTAACTGTAGGCTCCTTGTCAATTCTTCTATGGAATGCCAACGGACTTACACAGTACTGAACTCGACTTATACTTGTACGATAAATGGATTGACGTATTTACAGAATTACAGATTACATCTGACATCTCGATCAAAAATTTACATTTAGGATTCCACTATTAATAGAACTGATCACCCAGATAAAACTGCACATCAAGGAACAGCTATACTCGTCAAAGATTCACTGAAACATAATCCCATAGACTTAATAATTTCACCAGACATACAATTGACAGGAATAACACTATACACTAAACACTACATTATAACATTTGCTTTAGTTTGCTGCTCTCCAAGGTACAATTAATTAATGTAACCTTTTATAAAATTAAAGCAGTGAATAGTGTGATGAAATATCCTTTTGTGATATTCCAACAATATCCACTTACAATTAGTGTGACAACTTCTGACCTGTCTATGACTGACAATGCAAATTTCTTAATTCCGTTTTAGTAAACTTGGAATGGAAAATAACAGTTTAATAACGAATTGTCGTACAATACATTATCAACAGATCGTACAATCCATAATCAACCGTTGATATCATAAACAAGACTTATATTATTTTAATTGTATTAAAAAAATTTATAGTAGCCTAACATGGCCAGAAAATAATTTCTATTCAAAGTTCAGCAGTAAGTGAAAGTTGTGTTTTGCGCGCACTAGATTTTTATATTATATGAGATAGACAAATGGAAACGCTATACTAATAAATAAGCTATACTGGCTTTGAAATAATATACATAATCAATTTAAAATTTTTTTTATAATTAATGGCAGTTTAATATTCTCATGTATTCACATTATTTACATTAGTTATTATTCCCATATCATCCATCATTATTCATTAACTATTATCTGTTTCATATTACCATATCTCTGATCACTAGCGGATGCAGGATTTAATTTTGGGGGGGGGCTTCAGCCCGAAAATTCTTTTTTTCATAAAAATAACGATAATTACTTTGGAAAAAAAGAAAGAAGCTAACTACCTGTATGAAATGGTGTTTAAGTGATTTCTAATGCCCTTTTAAATGTAATTACACGAACAATAATACTTTAAGTGATACTTTTGTAATATTCTTTCGATAAAACGTGGTTATATTTTAGCATTTTGGGGGGGGGGCTTCAGCCCGAAAGCCCCCCCGTAGATCTGCCCGTGTCTCTGATGTCATAAAAACATTTTCAGCCTTGATGATGACCCATAAGCTCGGGTTTAAACGAAAAATAAAAATCTTGAACCTCACAAACTTGCTTCATTCATTATTTGAACTGTTACTTCAACAGCCATTGTGATTTATGTAACTTCACTACTTTTGTGTGTTGAATCGAATTACAACATTCTTATGTAGAGTATTGTTTACAGGAATAAGCAATACACTACATAATAATACACATACTACATAAGCGTCCTTTCCTCAACCTGGAAGCCTGCGGGCATCATCGAAATCATTACCTAAACTTTTTTTCCCTAATATCGTTCATATTTTGAGTGTATTAGAAGGAAGATACATAGATATTTAAACTGAAATGTTGAGAGTTATCGATCGGGTGTATTATTCAGGAATTTGCTGTATCGTCTAATGAGGTTTAGGTAATAGCATTGCAAGGAATATTTCGATAAAAGTATTTACTGTATTATAGAATAGAATAGAATAGAAGAATCAACTTTATTCTGGGACAAAGTCCCTTGATAATAACAATATTGTACATAAAATTAACATTACATCTGGCCAAAATGCATATTACAATAAAAAAACAATAAAAAAAACACTTAAAAATAAGGGATAAAAGAAGTATTTACATAACTGTACAGATATAGTAAAGACATAATATGAGCAATAAGATCCTAATACTGCTAATATTATACGATGATACTTATCAATAAAATTCATATATAAATTATTTTCTTCAATTATTCACTGCAGTCAACCATTAATCCACAATTTTGAATCATATATAAATTCGATTGTCTTAAATTGAACGTTTAATTTAACGAACGTATCGGAGGGTATAACGAAGGTTATACATTCCTAGCAAAAGTTGTTTTGATCTAGCTTATTGGCTTGTTTTTCACCGTTTTGTTTGTTTAGTTTTAGTATTTGAAATTTAAATATGTTATGCTCTTATTCAATTTTTGCTATGAATAACGGTTTTGAGAGAGATATTATTTGATTTTCAAACCATTTTGTGTATTGCAAAAACTAATATGCCTTTAGTAGATTACGGCTCATCTGATGAAAGTGATTCCGAATCACCTTGTGATGAAAAGAATAATTGTGCAGTCGGGAAAGTTGATTTGGTGTTAAAGAATCAAGAAGACTCCATTACTCAAAATTCAGTGTTAATAAAGGAAACCTCTGATTCCAAAACAACTGAAGCCAAACTGTTTGCACAATTACCAGTGCCAAAAAGTATCTTTTCACTTGGTGAAGATTCGTTGAGGTTGCTTAGCAAAAATAAGAATCAACCTGTGAAAATATTGTTACCCTCTCTAAGTGATTTACAGTCAAGTGATAATGAAGAAATTAGGAAGAAGAAACCTTCTACTAAAGGATCTGGTTTGTTTGCATTGTTACCAGCTCCTAAGAATGTTAATAATTTAATACCCAAGAGTATTACTAATAAATTAAAAAATTCTAACAAGCCCAAACCAGTTCCTAAGATAAAACAGTTGTCATCATCAAAATCAACTACTGCAACCAAATTTGATGATGAAGAGAATGATGAACATGAAGAAAATCCATCATCATTCTTTTTTAACTCAAGTGATGACATTGTATTACCTGAAGCAACCGTTGATGAATCAGTTACTGGCATTGAGCAAATCAATTATGATAGTTCTTCGATTGCTCATTTGTCTACTCCTGCTGATACACCTTTGGTAAATTCTGGTGTAAGTTCTGTGAGCAAATACCCTTCATATTCGGAATGTGAATCTGATACAGCTATGATTGAAGCACAGAATGATCAGGATTTCAGTAATTTAGACGATGAAGCTATTGAAAAACTATGTGGTACTAGGGCTAGAAAAAGGAAAGGAGAAATTTCTGAAGAAGTTATTGATATTAATGTTGATTCTATGGTAGGAGATGCATATATGTGGCTTTCTAAAGATTTGACAAAAGGACATGAACATACAGGATACAAGAAAGCTAAAAATCTTTCTGTTGTTGAAAGAAGAAAACATCAAATAACATATTTGGCATCCCAAGCTAAAGAAAAAGAAATGGAACTTCGAAATCAGTGGGCGAATAGCAGAATGACACGTAAACAAACCCAATCAAAATATGGATTTTAATCCATTATTTTAATTTTACAATAAATTATTAGAACTGTTATAGTCATAATGGTGATTCATTTTTTATAGTTTTGTATGCCTTTATTGCTTGCTACCTCTTTGATATTTCATTGATATATTGTACAAAACATGTGAATATCTGTAAATATAATGTTTTAAATTTAATCTTTATTACTGTTACCAATTTATACAGGCTCACTCAAATGATTATTATTGGCAATATTGTGTTATACCTACATTACTGCTGTAATGTGGGTATGACACAATATTGCTCTAATTTACTTAACTCATTTGAAATTTTAATTAGGCCAATTGAGAGGGAAAATAGCTTGGCCCAACTGAGCAACTATGTTTTATTTTTTACCTTCTATATACATAACTTTACATATATATAGAACTACATAATTTATATACTTAATCTTTTTGTTGCATACTTTGTGAAGGATGATGTTGAGTTCCAATGGCGAATTTAATATTCAGTTTGGGCCTTAAGAAAGTCTGTTTATGTATCCCTTGGTTTGTCTCACCTGATCTGTAGGGAAGTATGAGTTTTATTTTACTGAATGATTTTAAAACGGATTATTGTAACATAGCTCTTCTTTCCCCTTTCATATCAATTATGGTATGCAGTTTTTATAATTGATTTTGTATGAATATTTCGATATATTTGAAAATTTGTTCCCAAGTGCTACTACAATATGGCGGCTGGGCACAAGTTCATTGTGTTGCACAAGCATATTGTAGATGCCATTTATCTACTGACATTATTCATTTTTAAGCAATAAAAATAATACTTAATGACAATTTATTGATGTTATTAATGATAATTAGAATAATTACTATTTTTTTTAGATCATGACTTATTTTATTAATCATGTCATGACTTCAACCTGCTATTCATTCGATAAACAAGCCCTTTTTCATTTGAGGTTTGGGCCTTACTAAGGATACTGCTTATCAATCAAGATGGATCCTTTTTAGTTCATCATCGAATAGATTCCGGTTTTCCATTTCCAGGATAGGGATTCCTGCTTGGTTGGGTTATAAGAGTAATCCGAAAGGGACCCATTGGGGATTTAATTAAATTTCTTTCCTTTAAATTCCTTCATAATGTATAAGCGAGAAGGAGCTAATCACTGCATGTGAACATGATAGTCAATACTTGTTTACTTTTGATACTCTCTCTACAATGTGGCCATGTGCTCAACTAACCACCTTATTGGAGTTGCACTTAGTAAAATTTGTCTATTGAAAGAATTGGAGAAAGTAAATCATAATTTTTTATATTTATAACAACTAGCCAAGTAATGTCTCAAACTCTACTAGTATGCGATATCTATTGTGTATTTTTTTAGAGCTGTTGTTATTTTTTTAATCATGACATTTTATAATGTTTTTAATAATTCAGATGAAATTATTCAAAACTGTACTGTACTCCTATTTAACAAAAAATTATCAAAGCAAATAGAAAAATGGAAAAAAAAAATTAAATTGTTCTGTGCTTACATTTGTTATGGTTTTCTAATATACAGGTTGTGCCGTAAGTAGAGAGAAATTTTTATAGGAGTGATAGCATAGAGTGCATGGTAATAGAGCCTATTATGCAAACCTCAAACTTCTCCATTTTAAAAGTCTTCATATTTGTCAAATCTACAAAATTAAAGCTGTATAAAATGCTCATTAGACCAGTAGTTACGTATGCAGTGGAAATCTGGTGTTTATCACAAGAGGATTGGCTTAAACTAAAAGTATTTGAAAAGAAAACGGCAAAAATTAAAATAATTAATATATTTTAATTTATTATTCATTTGACCGCACACTCGACTAACTCCTTCTCATATTTGAAAAGAAAGTAATAAGAAAGATGTATGGTGTTACAAGAGTTAATGGGGAGTGGATAATCAAAATTGAGGCTAGAAATAACTAGAATCGATTCTATGTTAGAAAATCAAAACATTATTAACTATATCAAGACAAGTAGACTGAAATGGGCAAGACATATGGTCGAAATGAACAGGTGCAGAAGAAAATATTGGAAGAGAACGCACACTTCAGTGGGAAGAGGAAAATTGGAAGGCCGAAAAGCAGGTGGAGAGAGACGCACGGAAGTTAGGAATTCGCAATTGAAAAAGAGAAGCGCAAGATAAAGAAAAGTGAAGAAGAATAACTCAGAAGGCTAAATTAGGGAAAAACATTTTTGCTGAAAATAGATACTTTTAGTGGACAAGATAAAACATCACATAATTCTTATGTAAAACTTCAGGTGAATTTGCTGAAAATTGGCCCATTGTTTATATGAACTTTTTTTTGTAGCTCTCGAGGTCTGCTAACCCTCCTATAAAAATTTCCCTCCACGTACTGGGCACTCCTGTATAGTAAAACATCCAGAGCAGTTTCGGGTTAGAGATTGAAGGTTTTTGTGAAAGACACATTTATTGTTAGACAAATTTCCATTGACGCATTTACAGTGTTTTTTAAGCTTACCTGCCAACAAACTGATGGTTATACAGAAATTCCTTTATCTAACAAAATTAAGTTTGATATTTCATGTTATAACGGCTTTCAATTAAAAAATAAAAAACTTGTAAAGAAGGATAGTTTGGAAATGGATATGGTTACAATCAAAATATAATTTATATAGTTTGTAAAAAAAAATGTTTATTAATCTTATATATTCTGACAATATCTACATATTTACAGAAAAAAATATTTAAATATATATATATGATAAGTGTTAAGGATTCTATTGTAATAATTGTAATTTGAAACAAATATTTTTATTTTTTCTTAGAGTTTTATCTTTTGTTGGTTTAGTTTCAGTTATACTGTAGAACTTATAACAACAAAAAATCATCAGTTTTATTCACTTAAATTTATTGAGCAGTAGTTCATGTAAGTCAAGTAGTTGTTTAAAATGTCAACATTTTAGCAATCTTTAGAAAAAAAAAAAAGAACTCCCTTAACAGTAAAATAATTCTGTCAAAACTTATCTGTTCCTGAAGGAGTCACAACTGATTGTAAATTATAGCAATTACATCTTATTGTTTTGATTTTTCCTCACCTTTTAAGCGGAATAATCTGACTGAGGCTTTGTTAAAGGAGGAAAACCCAGTTTACCATTCAGACATAAATTAGATTTATGTTCACAAATCTCATGTTTATTGTTGGCACAAAACCAATTTGGAATCAGGACTTTTGTAAGTTAAAATAATTACTTTTTTCTTAAAACTGTCAGCATAACTCAGATTTAGAATGATTGCTCCAATCCACAGAAGACTCCTTCAGCATTTTGTATTGGTATTTCAATGTCTTTTTAAATAATATCTTGTAAATAAAAAGATGTCATTTATAATTCATTTAGATCTCCTAATTAAATAATAAGAATGAGTAAAATTATTTCTCTGAGGTCGGTACCATCGAATAGAGCTGTACCTGTGGCTTTTGTTTCTTCTTCTTCATAATAAATGGCCTCAGCTGAGGTATGATTAGCTTGGGATCCAGCTCAGATGGATCTTGCACTCCTGTTATTACGCTGACAACACATGCTACAATCATCGCTACAATGAACCCTAATAAACCATAGTATAAATATGATATTTTGTAGAAATCTGGAACATGGTCAGAGTGGAATACCATCGTCCCTTCCCCAGGGTATCCAAATCGAGTAATGCTGCAAAAAGGAAATCACAGTTTAAATTGAATGTTATATCAAGTTATTCCAGTTAAATATAAAAGGGCTGTCAGAAAAGAAATAGGAAGCTAAGCCTAACATAGTGTTATGATTTGATTTTTCATTCTTAATCTTTTTATTCTATTTTTTCAGTTAACAAGAGCATTGATTGGGAAAGTGGTAAGTCACTCAAAGATTTTCATTAAACTGTTTTAATAGTTTTATTCTACACAGTAATCTGTTTAGGAGTAGATTTTAAGTAAGTTAACAATGGAAGAAATATTCAATGAGCCATTGAATACAAAAGTGGTGAAATTGAAAAACTGAAGGTTTTTTAAACACTTGAACAAAAGTAAGCATTGAATAATAATAGATACATCCTGGTAAGGAATAATAGCTTACTTTCTCTGTTAAAAATATTAATTTTTAAGTAAATTTAAAGCATATTCAATTGTTTAAAATATTAAAGTTAATACACTTATTAATTACTTATCTATTTTAAAAATGACAATCCATTTTTGTATCCAATTGCTCAAATGTTTTCTTAAGTATTACTTACATTTTAATATGCAGTAGATTAATTATCTCTTAGTATATTTTTGTTGTCCTTTTTTACTTTGGATCATTAGTTTTTTTCCGAGATATATGAAAATATAAAAAATTATATTGGGATTACTTGAGCATATTTATTGTTCTTTCCCTGAATTTTAATGTAATTAGATGATTAAAAGAAAGTGACCTTTTCTGATTCAAAGTCATTCTGATGGCTTTGTATGAAAAATAAGCAATATTAGTAGTGCTTGGCTCTATTTATTCCAAAGAATATATTAATAAATATCTTCAATCCATTGGATAAAATTCAAATGTCGATTTGCCATACATTTGGTTATTCCCTAAAAGAACTTATGAAGTGTGTGAACTCTAATGCAGTAAACTAGAGAGTTATTGTTGGGAACTGTATGAGGTTATTGAACCCTTCATAATGTGCATTTACTTTTTATTAAATGTAAAGAAAAGGTACAATTACAGAAGAAACTAGTTCCTTTAAATTAATATTTCTCTTTTTTAGAGTCTAATTTGTATTTATAGAGTTGTTAAATTATTTCATTAAACTTTTGATTTATTATATTTTCCTTTTCACCAAGTTTACTGTTTATCTCGAGTGAGTGATCATTCTTCTGAATACTCTAAAAGTTTGATCAGACATTGTGCCTAAACTGACAGTAGTTCTGAGCAGACTGTTAGATACTTAACTAGCCACCTTACTCTTATAGTAGAATTACAAAATAAAAAGAAATCAGATTTGAACTTGAAAAAATTTTTCTCACAAAATAAGGAATCTGCTTAGAGTACAAAGGAGTTAAATTTTGAAAAAACAATCACAGATAGAAAGTATTTATGAAGTCTGGACAGTACTGTAGAGTTAGATGAGTTCTTCTTTAATAGTTTTGATAGTTAGTAATAGTCAAGTTTGGATTGTTTTTTTTGGAAAGAAAAACGTTTTTAACTGTGAAACCATTATCAGATATTTTATAATATAATGTAGTGGAGAACAGGGGTACTAAAATAAAAAAAAAAAAACAACAAAAATACAATGATACAATGGTGTGGGCAGGAAAGTGGAAGTTGTCCCAAGAGTTTAGAGATGGTTATTAAATATTTGTCTAAGATACATTGAGGAATACGAGCATTTTTTTAGAGATGTTGAAAGTCAGCAAATACATTTTTTTTACAACTGACAAAGATCAATATAACAAGCATCTAAATAAAGCCTGTGGAGAGCAATACTTGTTGATAGAAATAATTTGTAAAATAAAACTGATGGGCTGATCAAAAATGTCTCAGAAAATATTTAAGGTATTAAACTTACTTTAATCCAAGGGATTGAGTAATATTTTCAGGACAATTTTCAACTGTGGTTACTTTGGCACCATAAACTATGTGACCTTGATGGCTATAAATTTGGGCTCCAGTAGCTAGCCAGGATGTTGTGATGAGGCCTGTTAGACCACCTGCCAGAACACCCTGAAATTATAATTTAATAAAAAAGTTAGGATATTCCTGCTTTTAAAAAACTCCTAAATTTTTTTGTATATATATATATATATATATCAATTATTAACTTCACAGATCTTGTAACGATGTATAAAAGAGTTGAAAAGTACTAGAACATTTTTAATTTCGGCATGTACCAATGTTTTATGTAAATAACCAATACATATACGAATAAGATATTGTACAAAGGACAGTAAATAATTAATATCAGATATTACAATATTGTGTCAGATCTTAAATATTGTTTTTACTTCAAACTAAAAAATTTGCCTTTAAAATGTGTAGAGTAACCATCGATATGAACAAATTTTTTTGTGGTATTTGTGATTAGAGGTTTAGTGCAATTTTGAGTTATGTGTATCAAAACAAATTTTTCCTCCCCTTTTGCCTAATGAGCAAAGTGATGTAGCAATTAGAAAGAGGGAATAAATTACAATTATAATAAATTGCAATAATTAGTATAAGCCATATAATTAAGAAAGAAAATAGATTTAACAGGTTTGAAATAAACAATTTTAAATTGTATACAAACTCCTATTCAGAATGTAGTGGTATACATGTTGCAATTGTCATCAAATACAAGGAAATGTTTGCAGTAATTTTTGATCACTTCTGAAACATTAAAAAAAAAAAAAAAAAACCTGTACCACTACAACCCATGAAGGGTTTGGGGTTCAGTACTATTTAGGGAAAGTAACTCAAACATTTAAACGCTCAGTATTTTGAAACATTTCCGTCAGCCTACTAATGCATTATTTAATGTAATACAGATTACATTATTTACTTATCTTTTTTTTCTTTATGTGAATCATATTAGACAAACGAAAAAGTAACATTTAATAATTGTTTAAGGAAACAATTGGCTATTAAAAAATGAGAGTACATAGGCTATACATTTTTAAATACAGTTTTTAAATCTTAATTTGTTTTTAAATTGTTACCTTTGTATTGCCCCATGGTACAAACATCCCAAAAGTAAATATAAACAAAGCGACTCCGTTTGTGACTCCTTGCAAGCTAATAGCTATCTGAAAAGTATAACAGATACAGATTAAAAAAAAAAAAAATAATAATAATAAAGTAATACCTTTGTTTCGTATTAGCTAATTCATTATATGTTCTTTTGAGTTAAACTGATTTGTTTACCTGCATTATTGTTCCCAATTGTTCTACAACTAAGACTAGCAGGGTGCATACAATTCCGAATATAATAACTATAGACTTCATTATTAGGTTTGCTGTTATGTCTTTTGTATCTGATGGCATTATTGGCTTTATGAAATCTTGGTATATTGTTCCCGCAACTGTGTTGAGGCTGGCTGACATAGTGCTAACATGAAACATAGAATTATTAATGACATATTGATTAGAACACGGTAAAACTTTTATGTAAGTTAACCTTTAACATTTAAAAGTGCTACAGCTAATTTTGAATTACAATTAACAGTAACAGTTATTGCTATCAGACTAAAAAAAAAAAAAAATTATAAAAAAGAATTAATTATTATAGAAAAAATTGATATTATACATACAGAATCATTTTGTTACTTAAAAATTTCTGTTAAGTACAAATTTCCATTGTGGGATTAGTATACGCTTGCGTGTTGTGCAGCTTTACTTTATTATAATGTTTCGTCAGGGTAACTATGGACTAGTGCATCAAAATAGATTTTTTAAAAATACATTTATTGAATTATTTACCTACTTCCCACTTTCATGACTCACTGATTATTGTGAAATGCAAATCTGGTTTTGAAAAGTAGATATTTAGGGTAAGCCAAAACAGTCTGAAATTTCAATGGTTTGCAGCAAACGCTTAAGTCTTTAAATGTTGAAAACCTGTAATTTTTATACTTATATACAGATTTTTTTTTCTATTACCTACCAGGGGTGCCCATCCCCTCCAAAGGTGTTGATGGTGCTTGACCCCTCCTTCCTCCTAAGATATTTTATTTCTCTTCTCTTCTTAAAAACTGTGCAAGCTAAAGTAATTTTAAAAATCATAGGTCATATACAATTATACTTTCAGTGATCTGTACTATGCTTTTCTCTTGTCTTCTGATTTGAAATTTTCTGATCCAAAAATTCATAACCCCATCAAAATGTGCCTCCCTCAAAAGTTTTCTGATGGCACAACTTGCATCATGAAACCCCCTTGTGAGCACCCCTACCTCCTACCATTTCATATCTGAATTTCTGCCTATGAAGGGTGAGGAAAGATGGTTCTAGAGCTAAATTGAATCCTATTTTAATTAGAATAAGAAGGTTGAGCTTCATTCCGTTGGTCCGCCACAAAATTAATTTTAACACACACAGAGCGGATTCGAACTAACATCGCTAGACTAAAGAATGTTTAAGTTTACACTTTAAAAAGTTCAGCTGTCATGTATGTCTACTCACACGAGATACCTTATCTCTTTTCAGGTAAAGTTGACCATAATAATTATTTACTGTATATAGGCAAATATTGTACCTTTACCATACACCTAACAATATAAAAAAAAAAATAAGAAGGTAAAGAAAAAACAGCTATGGTATGTGCTTATGACTACACATAGAAGTGAAAACATCAACGAGGTGAAATAATAACATGGAATATAATTTATTTTTTTGTTCTATATTCACAAAGTAATAACATTTAAAATATAAACAGTTATAGTAGTGTATAAATATTTATATATATTCGTTTATATTTATTTATAAATACAATGAAATGTCAATTAGTATAACAGTTCCACATTTGCAGATTGCATATTTGATGATTTCGGATTAAAAAAAAAAAAAATCCAGTGGATACTGAGCATTAATGTAAAAACTAATTATTCCTTTATGATTTATTAGTATAATTTAATATTTGATTGTCCTCTGCTATTTTCCATCATAGCAGACTGCTTATATCAGTTGCAAACTACAAAATATCATATTTAGCACCAGAGGTGCCCAGAAGGGGGTTTGATGAAGCATATTTTGGCAGGTTTTTGAATTTTTGAAGGGCTATGAATTTTCGGAATGAAAAGTTCCATACTAAGAAACAAGGGAAAAAAACATGGAACAAAATGCAGCATGTGAAATTCTAATTCTACCTTCGCCTGCTATGTTTTTAAGAAAAGTGAGCAATAAAATATCTTGGGAGTGGGGGGGAGAGATAGGTTCTTGCGCCATTGACCTTGGTGGGGATGGACACTCCTGTTTAGCTGAAATAGAATAAAAGTTGAAAATTTTATAGGACATTTTGCACTAACAGTAGTGATATATACATATAATCAGTATGTTTTCACTCATAAAATGCATGAATAAAAAAATCCATAGGAAAATTTTTTGAATTTGAATGATTGAAGATAATTTTGAGTCAATAAATAGGACTAGCAATCTAGAATAAAATGCTATGAAAATTACAGGCTAGATCTGAAACGAAAAGAACAAAATTGATATTAAGATTATTTTTTTATATTTAAAAGTCATAAACTGTGAAAAATCTACAAATATATTACATAAACAGAAAAAACGAAGATCTATACTTATTTAGAGAAACAAAACGACATTGTAGCACAATTTTTGTTTGTAGATATCTCGATTATTTCTTTTAATGATATAAAAATATTATAAGGATGAAACTAATTGTCCGAATTTGCAGTCAAAATTTCTTCAAATAAAAAATTAAAAAATAAATTTTTAATTATTTAAAAAATAAAAAAAAAATTTATGACAAATCCTGATAATTTTTTTCATCCCTATAATTTTATATTACATATTACAAATATTTTATATTACACCAATTAAAAAAACGTAAAGGGCCGTTTACTCTGTCAATATTGAGTTTCGTCAATATATTGACCGTGTAAGGGTTACATTAGCACCAATTATATTGACATCAATAAAAGTGGTTGATATAAATTTATTTTTTATTTTTATTGAAGCTCCTTCAATATTATTGAAACAGTATCAATATAAGTGCATATGTAAGGGCTATATTGAGCAATATTAAACCATATATAAAGATCTTGAAAATCACTGGGTATTACCAAATTTCTGGTGCCCTTCTTGGCAATAAGTTTGAGTAGCGGAATGATACTTTGTTGTAATACATATTTTTCTGGAGGGAGGTTAACCCCTCTCCTCCCCCACGATTTTTATCAAAAAAGGTAAAAATGGTAATATGTTTGGTTAGGTGGGTGATTTTTTTTTTTTGAGCGTAGTGTTAATATTAGGATTACTTATGACATCAAAGTGTCAAATTTACAAACATTCGTAGAAAGAAAACGCTTTTCTTTAATTTTGGATTAAATACTTAAAAAAAAAAATAATTCTATCATTTCACATTATGTTTTATATTTATTTCAAATATTAAAAAATAATTGTGATATTTTGCATTTCTGAAAAAAAAAAACCTACATCTACATCTAAAATTACATTTTATTTGTTTTAAAATAAATAAAATAGCAAATGCACCTTTCTTTCACTTTTTAAATTTATTAAGATTAATAAAAATAATAATTAAAATTAATATAAATAATTGTTAAAAATATAATCGCTGTGATCGTCTAGACTGGGAGTTAGCTTAAGACAATCTTTTTATTGGGTTATACAATTTTAGGTTTTTTCCAAAAAGTTAATTTATAATGTATGGTTTGGTCGACTCCAAACGTTACTGACATGATACGTACTGCCGAAATTTAGATTTCGTGTAATTTTCAGTAAATTAAAATTAATTTTTACTGTGATTTTGTAAAAAAATGTATTATTTTTTATTGGGTTTATTTCTATAGAAATTCAACAAATGATCTCGATTTCCACCTTGGAGGGGAGGGGGATGGGCATCTTTGCATGAGCATAATATAATACGGACTCCGACAATATTATGTAGAAATATATAATCACTTCCCTTTTGTCTGAAAATACTTATTTTTGCTAAGAAGAGGGTGGTAAGTGAATGTTGTGCGTATCACACCAGATTTTTACTATATATTACCAATTATTTTGAAAATATTTAATTTTATTTTATGGACACACCTATATGTTTATTTATATCTTGTATTTTAATTTGTTCTGAAGGGGCAATAGTCCTGAATAATACTGTTATTTTCATTCATTCACTGGTTCAATTATGTCAGGTTTTAATGACTTAACATGATTATTTAAATATGTTATATCATTTCTGAATTACCTCAATGCTGTGCATACCACTCCTGAGAGAAATAAACCAGCTAGTCCTGGGTAATCAGCTGCTACATCCATTACATAATATGGTAGAAGTTGTCCTGGCTTTTGTATTTGCTATTTGGCAAAATAAGAAATAAATATTTTTAAAAAATGTATCGGTATTTTCATGAGGAATTGAGGGGAGTGGAGGAGGGGGGGGTTAACAATTGTTTTATGTTATTAAAATAGAATATGGAAAATAATTCAAGAGGCAATTAATATCGCAGAAAATATGTCATAAAAAGTGAACTTATGATGACGAGGCCACCTTTATAGTGTGGGTAATTCAAATATTTCAGCCCATTGTCGTGTTAAAATGGAAAACGGTACTTGCTGATGATTTCATTTCATAATTTTGGAGACAACTGTATACAAAAGATTCTACTCTTTTTTATCTTATCTACATATAAAATATATAGTAATGGAAAGTATTGTGATGGTGAAAATTTTCGAATCTGAGTTTTCAACTGAAAGACACGTTTTGAGGTTCCATGAATCCAAATAAACTTGTTTTGCAAAAAGATCTCTGTGGACAGCCTATTTCGGAAAAACTATAAGTCGTACGAAATTAAGATTGGAAATTCATTATTTGACACGTCTATAGTTTAAAAACGGCTCGTTCAATTTGGCTCAAACTTGGATGAAATACTAGTACCAATTTCATTGAATTAAATTTAATAATTAAAATTAATATGAATAACTGTTAACAATATAATGACTATGAAATGTGGAAGGCGTTTATTTAATAGGGGTTGGGAAAATCCAAAAATTGTATGAGGTTATAACATTTTATGCTTTATTCAAAAAGTTAATTTGTACTGTATTGTTTGGTCGATTCCAAACGTTACTGACACCTACTGCCGTTACTTAGGTCTCGTGTAATTTTCAGTGAATTCAAATTAATTTTAGTGATAACACACCTAAAAGTATACATCGTTCCTATTAATGTAAAAGGTCGTATGTAACAATTTGCCATTTTTACTCTATTGGTACTAATAGTAGCGATTTGTATCTTCAGTACGTACTGGAATTTTTTTATTACGATTTATCAAATACGCGATTTGCAAATGTAGAATTCTTCCGCATTTGCTGATGAACAAAATTAGTTTGTAAATGTTAAGGAATTACTGTATTTCAGAAAATGGCTTCTTCTGCAGATTTTATTCTCCTACAGAAAATTATAGACTTTGAAATTTAGATGTTGTTCAGCCAAAGAAAACGGTGAGGAAGCTAAACTGGCCTTACCTGGCAGATATTTTTTCTTGAATTCAAAATAGATCAAACAGAGAAAATTAAATATAACAAATGTAATTAAATACTTTTAAAACAGAATAATGGTTTTAATTCTTCCTCATAGCTATAAGGTAATCATAAGACCACTGTTGGCTAAAAAAAATAAAATAAAAAACTTTCGGTTTTATTTACCGATTTTCTTTGAAATAATTGCTGAAAATGGTCTGTTATATTGGGATTACCCACATATAAATATTTTACAATTTTATCTATTACATTTATAAATATATGCAACAAGAATTATATAATTATCATTTTAATATCTTGACTTATTCACTTTCAGGGATGGTTGATGGTTAGCAATATTTGGTGATAATTAATAATTTACTGTTTATAATACTATAAGATGTCCATATTTCGATAATTTAATTCTCTATTTGGATGATATATATGTAAAATTCATGAACATTAGTCAGTAAAAATATCTATGTGATTTTATAACACAGTTCTACAAAATAGTGTAAAGCTTTCGCTCACTTCATTAGAACCCACATCATTTTCTTAGAGCTTTCTAAAAAAATCCAAGAACCATCACATAATTTATATGGACATAGCACGGTAGGTTGTTTAGAAACCAGATTCTGATTCAGACCTGTCCCTAATTGATAAGCGTGTGCTCCCTTCTTCTTAATGGTTAAGGATGACTAGATTAATCCATAATGTGCTACAATATATTGTGCAACCTAGGGGAGGGGATGAAGAAAAGGGAATTACTATTATTGCAATTTTCATTGGAGTCAAATTTTTCCCCATTGGTACATGATTTTAAATATTTTAGATTTATTACCTTTTTTTTTTTTGTTTTTGTTTACATATTATATGGTATATTTTGCGGGTTATATAACTGACGCCTGCTTGTTATAGCTAAATGAGTATTACCTTGGTAACCAAAGGATCACAATCACCATATTTAGTGTACATTATCAAGCCACAAAATGTAGTGATGAACTTGATGACGACTATTCCAATGCACATGATAAAAGCCACCCTAAAAGCAAATATCAGAATTATTTAAAAATGTAAAGTTCAGTATTTAGTTGTACCGTAAGTTCCTAGTATTTAAGATTAGAAGTGTATTATAGAACTTGTGAATGATATAAGATTCACACATGTGTTTTCTACATTTAATGTAGTTGAATAACTCTAGATCCGATATTATACTTAGATAATTATGTATCTATTGGTTTATTCAACAAAATCGTCTTGTAACATTTTAGAAAATCATATCAGTAAATAATCTAATGAATTTTCCCTCTGTCGAATCACAGTAGTACAATTGATTATCGTTTACAGGTTAAATATAAAGATGTACTTTCAAACTTCACTAGGCATATATAGGTCAAAGACTGAAGTGAGGCTAATTGTTAAGTTTATGGTTTGGTCTGTTAAAAATTCACTTCAAAAACTTTGTAATAATTTCTATAAAATGATTTCTATTCAAAGTAGAGTGGTAAGTGAAAGTTGTGTGAAGCGCGCACCAGATTTTTAAAAATCAAATCAACCGTTTCGAATCTCTTCATAGTAATCAAGAAACCTGTGTCACTTTTCGATCAAAACACTTGATTTCTTTCTCACTGTTTACATTCTTGTTAGTAACTATAGTTACGTAGTTATTACCTCATTTAGAAATAAATAGGTACATGTTATTTACAATCCCTGCTTCTTGGAGTAATTGAAGCATATCTTGTTCACTCTAAAATGCGGCAGATAATTGAAAAAGATTCATTTTATTTTTTCTCCGATATCTAAACGCGCTAGAACTAACACAATAAATAACCCAATCCGTAACAGTTTAAAAAAATTTAAACCGAAATAATATATTTTTATTGGAAAGTAATATGTGGTAGCGAAGTAAAAAAGACTCGAAACCTGGTAATCAACGTCTATAAAAGTCTTGAGTCTGCGTATTGACTAAAAGTCTACATTTAAATGCTAAGAATTCACACTATAGATAAATATGTTTTTTAAGTATTATATATAAAGTGTGAAGTCTTACAATTGCACACCGCGGTATGTTGGAACTGAAATGTATCTCTGCACAGTTCCTGGGTGTGTTGCTAGGACCTTGAGCCAGTTTGGTATGGAGCCGATCACAGTTGTCCAGAAGGTATTTCTCTGGAATGGATCAGGATTCATGCTGGAAAGAGAATATAATGTTTCAAATCAAAATAAATATTGTATAAAAAAATATCTGAATAAAAAAAACAAAAACTGACTACAGAAATTGGGACATTCTATCCACAGTAAAGAATGTACTTAAATGTCTACTAAAACATCTCGATACGGCAGTTGATATCTACGAATATTGAAACTTTGTTTAATAGACGAGTGCCTTTCGCTACACATTACGGTTTCAGGGAAATAAATTTCATCCAATCTATCGGTGCATGTAAATATCTAAAAGTCTTGAGTTTAGTTCGGGAGATTTCGGTACCCGATTGCTCCTTCATGTTTGAATATTAGTGAATGTCAATTTTTCTATCGATCAACTAAGATGTTTTAGTGAATATAAAAGTACATTCTCTTAGGGCACGAGCGGATCCAGGATTTAGTTTTGGGAGAGGTTTCAGTCCCAAAGATTTTTTTTTTAATATATAAAGATAATTACTCAGGAAGGAAATGAAAGGAATTAACTACCTGTATGGAATAGAGTTTAAGTGATTATTCAAGTACTATTAAATGTAATTACACGAACAATAATACTTCTAGAGATAATTATTACATTTTTTTTTTCATAAGATGTATTACATTTTACCATTTTGGGGAGTGGAGAGGGTTCTTCAGCCCGAAAGCTCCTCCCCTTCCCTTCGTATGTCTGCACCTGCCTTAGGGCGGATATAATTTCTCAATTTCTGTAATCGATTTTTTTTTTTATAATTTAAATATTAAAAATTAATTTTCATAACATATTCCGCACCTTCCGCACCAAGTTCCCACGAATGACCACATGGTATCATTTCAAATAAGTTAATAATTAAGATACTTAAACTATAATAAAAATGTTTTTAAGTATGTTGTGCTCAAATTGTTTCAAAACATTCACGGGATCTCACTGGGTAATTACAGCCGTAAAAGTTAAAAAGCGGTCATGCCATCCGCTCAAAACGTACGTACCTTTTTAGCGAATTGATTAAACATATTTTACACATTGATTTGCCAGAATTTAAATCGATTACACACATCTTATTTAATCACGGTTCAGTATTTTTAGTTTTAAAATACAGAGGGAATCTCACCGATTAACGTGAGCCATTAAACTTTAAAATTGATCCAGCCGTTCTCTTAAAACAGCGTTACAAAGCTGTTTGCAAATTGATTAAATATATTTGGTTTAATAACGGGTCAGTATTTTTAGCTCAAATTGTTTCAAAACACTCAAGGGATCTCACCGAAAAATTTGAGCCATCAAACAAAAATTAATCGACCCGGTGGCTTAAAAAATCGTTACATTTTTTGCAAATCGATTAAACACATTTTATTTAATACCGTGCCAATATATTTAGCTCAAAATGTTTTAAAACACTCGGGGGATTTCACCTTCAAAAAGCGTTTCATAGCTTTTAATGGACGACCTAAACACATAACCCTCGTTTCGCTTGGCCTAGTCGAATAAAACGTGAAAAAGAAATCTTTGATTTCTTAGTTTGTACAACCTCAAATAAAAATACAATGTTTTTCACAGTCGGTCTAGTTTACCGCGAAAAATGTGACGGAGGGTTGATTGAATCATAAAATCCTAGTATATATTGATATATATATTATTATCTTTGAATATAAATGACAGTCTAAATAAAAGTAACATTTAGGTATCAATTACCTACGATTAGGCCCTAGCCTAGTCGACTTTTCTTAATTGGTTTTAGTTTACATATTTTATTTATTCATGTAGCTTTTTATTATTGATTTTAATTTTTTTTGCCTCAAACTATTGGGGAGGGGGAGAGAGGAGAAACGATATTTATAGCTCCTCAAAATTTTTATTGGGGGGGGGGGGGAGGAGTGGCGATGACCCTCATAGGCTGCGCATATGACCCTCATAGGCGAACTGCTAAAAAAATTTTTAAATCCTTAACTACGCTCCAGAAAGGTTATGGTTACACTATGGTCGCCTACTGTCAGCATAATCCACAAAAGCTCATGGCATAATCGTCAATACCAAGAAATTTAGTCATACATCGAAAAATGCAATCTATTTGCTCATCGTAGATTAATTTGAAAGGTCTCTTCTCCATGATGATGCCATGCTATAAAAGTTGCACAACCAGCACTGTAACTGCACGATTTTTTTTGCTTTTCCCGCTTCCTGGCCTTTGACTGTCGCTTTCCCCTCCCCCCTCCCCCCCCCCGAGCTATGGGTATTAATGGCAGAGTTAAAGTCTCCCCCAGCATCGAGATTCGAACTCGTAATCTTTGGTTAATCAGGTTGCCGGACACACCATTCCCGCAACTGTGTGAGTTGGGCTTCGAAGTTCTTTAACACCCATCCTATTTGATGACCTCTCCACTACTGGACTTTGCAAGCACTTGGACAAATTATATTCCTACTAATTATATTCTATAATTCTGATGGAAATTATTTAGACCAAATGATTGATAACATATATCTCATGACATTAAGGCAAGGATGTTATGATGGATGAGGCACATAGCTCGGAGCAATCCATCAGGGTGCTTCTATACAACAATGAATGCCTCTATAGTAGGCAAGATGTATATGTATATAAATAAAGTTATGGTTAGTGGTAAACTTAAACAGTGTTCAATCCTATTAAGATAATTAAATACATCGATTAAATTAAATAGATAATTAAAATATATGATTATGTATTCTGGTTGGTTATAACGATTTGTTTAGATAATAAAGTGTGATTTTGTAAGCGGCGAAGAGTTTTCTTTCGCGTCTCTTTTTCCTTTTTATTATTTATCGTCCAGACGTTCGTAAATTATATATATATATATATATATATATATATATATATATATATATATATATAATATAGATGGATATTCTTGTCCTTTCGTAATCTACATTATATATATATATATATATATATATATATATATATATATATATAATATAGATGGATATTCTTGTCCTTTCGTAATCTACATTATATATATATATAATATGGTAGGATACATTCCTTTTCCGGCTGTCAGGAGCAATGGATTTTCATGAATGAGGTATAAAACGAAATGGCATTTAATTGTGAAGTGACGAATGATTGAAATCTTTGAAGAACTAAAAATCTATTCAGTAGAAAACTGTTTACTGTTACATAGTTTAAAATCAATATAATATTAAAAATATATATTTAGGAAATGAAAGGATAATAAATATATTTATATATTATAAAAATACAATATATATATATATATATATATATATATAAGATAAAGACCGGAGACCGGCGATATCAGCCTTAATACCGTCCTGAATGTAAATAAACATATGAAATGTATATAAGGAGGATTACTAAAGGAATAAATCAGTATCTTTTCTGAAACCGTGAGTGTTGCATTTCAAGCCCTTTCCTTTCTTTTTTTTTATTGTTAGAGTCCGCCGACGCTTAACTGGTGCCGAAACCCGGGACTACGACAGGAGAACAGTGAAGTAATTTTTTTTTAAAGTCATTTTTTTTTCTCTTGGTTTTTTTTTCTTCTCCTAGTCATAAGGAAAGAGTGAAATGCCAACAGAGGGCTTAATCAGGCCGGGAGTGTTGAGCGCCCCGGAAATCCCTCAACCTCAAGAAATTCCGCAGATACCTCAGATCGCGCAGGCCCCTCAGGTGCCTCAGATACCTCAAATACCTCAGGTACCGCAGATTCCGCAGATCCAGGAGATCCCTCCCTTACCGAGGGACACATTGGCAGAAGCGCACGCTAACGCGCTGGAATGGATGAAAATAAGAGCGGCGACCACGCAGGACCTTCGAAGAGCCATTGCGGACCTGGAACGCTTCGGTGGCGAGGTAGGTGAGCTCAACCATTTCCTGAAAGGCGGAGACCGCCTCATGTCTAGAATAGAGGTAAAGGTGGCGGAGGACCTGGTAAACCTAGGGGACGCGGAAGCGTTGAAAGCGGCTCTGGTGTGCCGAGTAAGGAGGAGCATCCTGAACCAAATTCAGGCGGATGAGGAGACACCATGGCCGGTGATTAAGGAGCGACTGAAGAAGGCCTTCGGAGGAGGCAGATGGACGCCGGAGGAAGACATCTTCCAAATGTTTAGGGAGCGCCGGTCCCAACGTCAGACGAGGGGCCAGTATGCGGGGGTACTAGTGGCAAAGTACAACCGCATAACGGAGAAAATGCGCGAAACAATGAGTGTGGGAGAGGTGGAAGCCAGGATGGAGTTCCTCTCGACGATACTCAAGGTCCAGTTGGCGAAGGAAACGGGAAGGAGAGACGGATTGCCCAGGGAGAGATCATTCCTCGAGTGTGCCCAGGAAATGATCGACCTAAGCGCAAGGGAAGAAGAGACTCGGATGGACGTGGAAGAACCAGGGTGGATCCGGGTGAATGACAGACGACCCCGGACAGCCCCGATGGGTTGGAAGAGGAGAGAAACGGTGCAGCCGAGCGGAGAAAAGGTCAGGATGGGTGAAAAAAGATCCGGACAAGTGAGGCCGAGGAATGGACCCCGCAGGGAAGACAGGAAATGTCATGGGTGCGGAAAGCCAGGACATTTAGTTGCACAATGTCCGCGCACTAGATGTTTCGAGTGCGGTACCGAAGGGCATATTGCTAGGCAGTGCCCGTACATATTCCGGAGGAGAGAAAGAACTCAAGACGAGCCCATGGAAGTAAACACGCAGAAGCTGACAAGACGGGCTAGGATACAGCGGAAGGACGGATCTTCGGGAGAGGCAACCGAGGAGTCGGGAACTTCGGGGACAGAGACGGACGAACCAGGTAGCAGTGGAGGCGAAGGAGGCAGGAGCAGCCAACGGACCGAGCAGCGACGAACGGCGGCGGGGAGGAGGAAGCTGGGCGGCATCTGAGGAGTGTGGCAGCAGAGAGGCGACCGCACAGCAACATGCAACAACATCCGAGGTAAGCCATGCTGGTTGCCAATTATCGAGGTAGACGGGGGAGTAAAGTGCCTCGTGGATACCGGGAGCTCGAGCACTATTATGA